ATTAAGAAGAGATGGCAAAACTACACAGAAGAACTATACAAGAATGAGCTTAACATCCCAGATAACCACAATGAGATGGTCATTGACCTCGAACCAGACATCCTAGAATGTGAAGTGAAATGGGCCTTAGAAAATCTGAGCAACAACAAAGCTAGTGGAGGTGACAGTATTCCAGCTGAGTTATTCAAAATCTTAAAAGACGATGCAGTAAAAGTGCTACACTCAATTTGCCAGCAAATTTGGAAAACTCAACAGTGGCCACAGGATTGGAAAAGGTCAGTTTACATTCCAATTCCAAAGAAAGGCAATGCCAAAGAATGTTCAAACTATCGCACCATTGCACTCATTTCACATGCTAGTAAAGTTATGCTTAAAATCCTACAAGCTAGACTCCAGCAGTATGTGGATCGAGAACTACCAGAAGTACAGGCAGGATTTCGAAGAGGCAGAGGAACTAGAGATCAAATTGCCAACATACGCTGGATCATGGAGAAAGCTAGGGAGTTCCAGAAAAACATCTACTTCTGCTTCATTGACTATGCAAAAGCCTTTGATTGTGTGGATCACAACAAATTGTGGCAATTTCTTAAAGAGATGGGAGTACCAGACCATCTCATTTGTCTCTTGAGAAACCTATATGTGGGTCAAGAAGCAACAGTGAGAACCGACACGGAACCACTGATTGGTTCAAAATTGGAAAATGAGTCCGGCAAGGCTGTATACTGTCGCCCTGCCTATTTAACTTATATGCAGAGCACATCATGAGAAAGGCAGGGCTAGATGAATCAAAAGTTGGAATTAAGATTGCCAGGAGAAATATCAACAACCTAAGATATGCAGATGATACCATTCTAATGGCAGAAAGTGAAGAGGAACTAAAGAGCCTCTTGATGCGGGTGAAGAAGGAATGTGCAAAAGTTGGCTTGAAACTCAACATTAAGAAAACCAAAATCATGGCATCCGGCCCTCTCAATTCCTGGCAAATAGATGGAGAAGAAATGGAGGTAGTGACAGATTTTATTTTTCTGGGCTCCAAGATCATCTCAGATGGGGACTGCAGCCAAGAAATTAAAAGACGCTTGCTCCTGGGGAGGAAAGCTATGGCAAATTTAGACAGCATACTAAAAAGCAGAGACATCACCCTGCCAACAAAAGTGTGTATAGTCCAGGCCATGGTTTTCCCAATTGCAATGTATGGCTGTGAAAGTTGGACCATAAGAAAGACTGAGCGCCAAAGAATTGAGGCCTTTGAACTATGGTGCTGGAGAAGATTGGATTGCAAGGCGTTCAAACCGGTCAGTCCTAGAGAGATCAACCCTGATTGCTCTTTAGAAGGCCAGATCCTGAAGTTGAAACTCAAATACTTTGGCCACCTAATGAGAAGGAAGGACTCACTGGAGAAGGGCCTAATGCTGGGAAAGATTGAGAGCAATAGAAGAAGAGGATGACAGAGAATGAGATGGCTGGATGGAGTCACTGAAGCAGTAGGTGTGAACTTAAATGGACTCCAAAAGATGGTAGAGGACAGGAAGACCTGGAGGAATGTTGTCCATGGGGTCGTGATGGGTCGGACACGACTTTGCAATTAACAACAACAACAAAATGTTAAATAATAGAACCATTTTTAAACTTTAAAAAAAATTGACATCAAAGCAAAAAATAAAAAATAGAAAAGACAAGAATACAAATTAAATCTCAACCAACCAACAATACAAACTAAAAAAAGAAAAGAAAAAGAAATTTTATACTTATCAATACTCACTGGTTTACTCATACAATATTGTAATATTATTAGTACAAAATGTTGTTGTAAAATACCACAAAATCTCTAACATAGTAACACATATTGCTTTATTTTTTGATTAGTAGAAAATGCTATTTTTTTCTAAATACTAAAGTAGTATTATTTATATACTACTAAATACTAAAAATAGAAGATACTAATTTTTCTTTTCAAGAACAGATAGATCACACATTTCCCACAATCATTCCTTAACATCTGAAATAATACTACATTTCCAATTTCTCAGTATAATTCTTCAAGCCACCTCCCACCTTGATATAGCTTAATGAGTTCTAGTCTTAAGCACGAAGAGAACTGAGTGATCTTGGACCAGTCATTCTCTCTCTCAGCCCTAGGAAGAAGGCAATGGGGAAATTGAAAACGTTGCCAAGAAAATTGGAGGAGCTAATCTAAGCAGTCACCATGTATCAAAGACTGACTTGAAGGCTTTCCTTCTCTGAAGTTATTAAAAGAACATTTGGAGTGTGTGTGTGAGAGAGAGAGAGACAGAGAGATAAAGAAAGAGAGAGAACGAGAGAGAGAGAGAGAGAGAAATGTTTTAGTCCCAAGTAGCATCACTTCAATTCACAATTCACATAAAAACAATGGATTAAAAGGCAGGGGGAGAGAGACAAGTAAGCTCCTTGTATTAATTTGTAAACTTTGCTTGAGCAGATACTCAAGAAGCTGGCAGTAACAGAAGACACGGTAATTCCATGGTGAGTTCAGCTTCCATGAGTATTCTTCACAGCTCTTCTCTTCATGACTATACTCCTGTTAGTCGCTCTGAAAACCAGGATTCTCTGCAGGTATAGTCCTTTATCTTTTCTTTACTATTTTATTTCTTTAGCTCGTATCTATCTATCTTCTAACTTCATTAGAAAATATATATTAGTTATAGAACTGACTACGTAAGATTTCAAACAGAATCTTAGCCAAAATAATTATTAGTGATTATACTGGCATACAGTATATAGGCATTTCTTAATTTTGATATCTCTTATAGGCTCTGAGTTCCTTGGATGAAGATGATCCAAACATACTTCTTGCTATTCAGTTATCATTGCAAGAATCTGGCCTAGTTATTGACGATGAAACTAGAGACTTCCTGACTAATGAAGCTTCATTAGGAGCAATAGGTACTTCTTTGCCTACAAGATTAGAATCTGGCCCAGTAAATGTAGATAATCCAAGAGCAGCTCTAAGTAGCACTGAACTTTTAGAACTTGGTGATAGCCTGATAAAATTAAGTGCAGACAATGATCAGTTTTTGACAGACCATCTTAGTTCTCGCACTTTCAATAATACAAGAAGTGGCTTATATTCAGCATCTGGTGAATCTGACTCAGGTAGTCAAGATCTTAATATAAATGAAAATCTCCTTGGAAACATAATGGCTTGGTTCCATGACATGAATCCTCAGAGTATTGCACTCATTCCTTCCGCAATTACAGAAGCAGATGATGATTCACAGCAACCCAGTACTGAAGAGAGGTTAATGGAGGAGCCACAAGTAAGACAAGATCTTCTAGAGGAAAATGCACCCTCTGAAGAGGCCATCAAAAATGAAGGCACTCAAAGAGAAGAAGGTGCTGCTGCTGGAGACATTAGTTATGGAGAAACGGTTCCACCAAGTGAAGATGCTTCTGGAGACACTAGCAGCCAAATTGTAAATTCAGATGTTTCGTGTCAGACATCTAAAACTTCAGCTGAATAGGCTGAACATGTGCATTTGGTATAATCACAAAAAGTCTGAAAAAACATGAATTGTTTGTGGAGCCAAAATGACTAGGCGGTTACCAATGGTACAATATATAGTGGAAACTTTGACCAACACTAGCAGAGCTCAGTTGTTTACCAGAATGGGATAAATAGAAATTTCCTTGGTGTTCTTTATGAAGCTTATTTGAACCTTGCAGGGAATTTCTATTTCATTGGACAGTAACGTGGCTTGCTTGTTTGGAGGAAGTAGAAAGCTTGTACTCCATGTTCCAAACACAATGCATTATCTATTTAGCCTTAGGCTGATGATCCTTAACTTGAAAGGGGAGATTAAAGGCTTCCTTTCTTCATTTAAAGAAAACATCTTCTCCTTTTTCTCTCATTTGTCCTATCCTTTAAAAAGATTTAGCACTAAAATTATGTCTTGCTTTCCCCAATTAATCAGTAATAGTATGAACTGAAGTAAAATGAACCTTTTCTAATTAGAGTAAACTTTTCATGTTTATGTACCAGTACAGATGTGCCAAACTGAGCAGCAAATCAACATAAAAATATGCAGTATTATTTTTTATACTAATTATTTTTAGGGATGTAAAGAACACATACACATGCACATACACATAGATATAGCTTTTTCAAATTTCACTCATATTTATCAACATTATGATTGCATTAAAATAATTTTATCTTAATTAAATCTAATTCTCCTATTAAAGACATTATTTTTAACAGCCAAGTTGGCTCAGTTGAAAAGACATTTTAACAGAAGTGCAATCTTCTCTATTCATTCTATGCACTATGAGTGCAATTGCTTTGAACAGTAACATTTTACAAAACAACCAAGTTTGCAATTTCCATAAGCTAGAAACAGCCTCCTTGCCACCCCCCAACCCAGGAAATATTAATAATATCACAAACAACATGTTACTGTGCCTTTGCCTAAGCTAAATAGATAGTTGCCACAGTTAAATGAATATTAGTTATCTATTCTGGAGTATACTATGCTATGAACTGCAGAAACCTCCATAAAACCACTCATGGCCTTTCCTTTCCACTCAGTACCTATATAGGGTATAAGCCTTCCCCGTACAGGTATAGCATGCACACATAGAAGGATCCCCATAGGATTCCAGAGAGCCTTATTTTTCTCCTTCTCTCCCTACCCTATCTTTGTCAGCATGCATTTGAGGGCAGTACAGCATATGTCAGTATCTGTGTGTGCCTCCTGTATTTCCATCCAGCCTACTTGTTTCACTCTGTGAAGTTGTATGAACTTCAGCTGAAAAAAGAGTGAAACACAGGAATAAGTGTGTGTTTCCAACACAGGCACTCTGCAAAGTGGGCATGAAATTCAGCTGTTCAGACAAATTCCTTGTTTGTAGACACTATAGCTGCGCAGGGAATATCATACCTTAAATGTTAACATTTTTCAGAAATAATAAACACTACAATGTATTCTTTTCAACTACACAATATTCATTTAGTGTATGATTGGTGTTTCATATTTTGTAAAAAATAAAAACAAAAAACAAAACAACCCCCAAATCTTCCCTAATAGTGTCCTACTGTGGAGAAAAGTTTTGTTGAAATTGGCTTAAGAACATCAAAACCTCATTGTAAATTAGTGATGCAGATTGTAACTTTAACTAGAAGTAATTGTTTTAAATTACTGTTTTGCTTGCATATAATCAAAATCTAGGTTAACAGAAGCAAAAATGAATGAAACAGTCCATTTCTTTTTCGTTTGACTTGATATGAGAGATCTGCTATGTCTGATACAAAAACTTGCTACTGATTGTGTACAGTAAGGTATTTGGATGGCAGAAAAGGTATATATATTGATTACTAGGTGTTACAAAAAAAGTGTTAAATCCTTCATTTAAGCATAACTGTTGGGATCTTGCAGTCCCTGTGGCTCATAAAATTAAATATTAACTATTTAATCCATTTTTAAAAAACTCTTGTTTCTTGACATTTATTTGGAAGGAGTAGTCTGCTTCTCTGTTATTATATGCTGTACCTCCATTATATTTTCTAGCTTGGCTTCTAACTGACCTGTCCTGAAAGTATTGGTGTTGAATCCCTTTTTCTAGTCTTGGAAAATTATCTCTTTAAAAAGCTATTACAGAATCCTTTCTAAGTTAAAATAAATCTTGAAGACACTATCATCACTAATTGGTCTTACATATTTTAAATACACATACAACTTCCTTGAATTTTAATTTCCAAATAGAATATCACATGGTTTTGTATATTGCATTAAGATGTCTTGCAAAGCTAAGAGAAGATATGTAAGAGTGCTTTCTGTGATGATAGTGAAATTTGTGGGTTATGGTTTTCTGTAACTTGGTTTAAATTGTGAAGTATACTCCATTGTTAAATTTATTCTGAGCATGAAATTTAGCATATTAAATTTGTATTTTCTTGATACTTAAAAATTTAAGACCATCCCACTAATTGAATTTAGAATTCTGAAAGAAAGTTTGGCAAGCCTATTTTGTAAACCAATTAATTTTATAAAGAAAAACAAAACTACTATAATCTTGAAAATGGTATTTGCACTTTCATAGTATATACTTGATACATTCCCACTTTATATACAGTAGGATATTACAACCGTATAGATGTTTGGCCAAATGAATGCTATTAATAATATGTAAAAATTTTGATTAAACATTTATTACTTAAACTAATTCCTTTTATCCCTTGTATTTCTTTACCAAATATTATTTTAAATGAAAGAATGGTGTTTGGAATAAAAAAAAGTTCACACTGGTATGCAACAATTTGCTGAGATTTTCTAGTAGAGGGTTTCACTAATAATTCTTATGCTGCACAGAAGTAGTTTGTTTCTGTGTAAAGAACAAACATCATCTGCAATACAGGTGGTCCTCTAATTTACAGCCATTCATTTAGTGACTGTTCAAAGTTACAACTGCATTGAAAAAAGTGACTTATGACTAGTTTTCACACATACATTGCAGCATCCCTATGGTCACATGATCAAAATTCAGATGCTTGGCAACTAATTTACTATATTTATGATGGTTGCAGCAAGTCAGGATCGTGATCACCAACGTCAATGTGGAAGCCAGATTCACTTAACAACCATGTGACTAACTTAACAACTGCAGTGATTCACTTAACTGTGGTTAAAATGTTGTAAAATGGGGCAAAATTCACTTAACTGTCTCACTTAGCAACAGAAAATTAAGGCTCAATTATGGCCATAAGTCAAGGGCTACCTATAAAACCAAACCAAACGCCATGAAGCAGAAAACATCTGAATGCAGAAAGGAATGAGATCAAACCCACTATTCTGTATTTCAAACATTGTATAACATTGGAAATAGGTACTTTGAACAGAAATAGTCCAAAAATAATTAAGCATTTAACAGCTGAAACTCTAATGAAAATAAATTAGCACTGTTAACAGTTCTGCTTAGAAAAATCTCAGTTACTTGTGCATTTTTTAAACTGAAACCAGAAAGGAATACTGATTGAAGTGCAAATTTGCCCTGAAATATCAATCACTCATTCATTTGAAATGTTTATTGTTAACAGATTTAATAAACATTATAAGAAGGATAAATGAATAAAGTTGGTGTCAACCTTTATTCTAATGTTAGATTATAAAATGTCTTAAGTCTTTCGCAAATATTACATATATGTGGATAGTTTTATTTACATTGTGACATTTTCTATACTACATTTGCAGGTAGTCCTTGGTTGATATGGGTATTTGAGACCAGAATTTCGGTCTAAGTGATGCAGTTGAAAAGTACAATTTCACAATTTCAGTCCCTGTTTCAGTCCTTAACACTGGTCCTTAGGTGAGGAACCAAACCAAGCCAAGCCATTCCCAGCTTAGTCCCTGTCAGCCTCCAACCTTGGTAAAGTAAGGGACTTCCTCCTCTTCAGCTTCCCCCATCTGCCTATCTTTCCCCCATCTCTGCCATCTTGTATAATAGCACTCCTTAGTGGTGGCAGCACTAGGACGTTCAGCTCTATCAATTGCCCATCACCATTCCTGGGCCTTTATGTCCGCTCCAGCACACTACTACTGCCACTGGGGAGTACTGTCTCAAGCCACAGCCAACAGCCCTCCCTACAGGGATGAGTTGAGTTTTGCACAGTGGCATAAGGAGGGCTGTTGACTGTCACTTGAGGCAGCACTCCCTATGCCACTGTGCAAAATTCAATTCATCCCCACCCCTGCCAGCACCAGCAAGAAGTGCCATTGAGCAGGATAGTAGAAAAAGACTAAGATGGAGGGGAGGAGGAGAGATGGGTGGGAGAGCTGAAATGCCCCTAAAGTTGTAAATGGCTGAATTTTTATCATGTTACTGCTGCATCAACCATAACTTTGGGGACTAGCTGAATAAATGGTAATCAACCAAGGACTAACTGTATGTGAATTATATTTGTTCAGTTCAAATTTTTGTAGTGTTATTATGGCATAAATTCTATAAATGTTTCATAGTTCTATTTTTTTTCCTGCCTGGAAGTTCTCTTGAAACCATTACTTTTGTACAATCTTCTTTATTCAATCTACATAGCATACTGTTCACTTCATGAAACCAACAAATCTCAAAATAAATAAAAACATATTGAGAATATCAATGTAGACATTCAATACTGCAAATACATATTCATCTGGATTCAGGCGGTAATGATGCTTCTTTCCCAGCATTAATTGTGTGTCGACCAATAGGTACTTTTAAAAAACAAAAGAAAAATACAGTTATTGCATTTAAGTTACTAAATCTTCCTGTCACTTCTCACAGAAGATATAATTTATTTTAAAAGCAATTACTTAGCATAACAGTTTGCATAATTAACTGTTTTTATCACCTTAATCTTCAAAGATCTAGTTAAGTGATCTTAATATGTTAATGTGGTAAAGCTCTCTATTAATAAAAACAATCCCTTTTTGTCATAATTATTGTTAGAACTTCTAATACAATGATATCATCTTAAGATTTATATTCAGAAAATAAACTCATTAGAAAGTAAGCAAAACAGACATGGTCATAAATTTTGATGACCTAATTCAGATGATCATTTAAGACACATTTTTTTTACAGAAACATGCTGTAATGAGTTTCAGTTTTGCATAGTGCTGTTTGCCTCTCACTCTATGTCAGTGGTGGTGAACCTCTGGCACGCGTGCCAGAGGTGGCACTCGGAGCCCTCTCTATGGGCACGCACGCATGCCATTGTCGCCCCAGCCCCGACTCTCCCCACGGCCCCCTTCTCACCAGCAGCCTCCCCGGAGAGTCATCACCGGGCGCAACCCACGCACAGCAACGCAGCCAAGGAATGGCAGCCGGGCAGCAGGGACAAGACTCCACCCTCACACCTTGTGCGTAGATGATGCTACAGGGCACGGGTGGAGGGTGTGGCTACCATGGCACTGCAGGGCTGCCTGAGTGATCTGTGGCGGGCTGTGGAGGTAGTGGGTGACCCTGTGGGCAGATGGGGATGGGTGAGGTGGGCGGGAGGGGTGGGGCGGTTTTGGGGCACTCGGTCTTCAAAAGGTTCGCCATCACTGCTCTATGTGGTACAGATTCGATCTGTAGCTAATTTAAGTTAAAGACTTACTATGCCAAAAAGAAGTGTTCCAACACCAGAATAAAATATTACTGTCAACTGCAAAATAAGATTTTTGAATTAGAATTAAGCAGGAACAAAAGTAATTAGGGTTCCTTAAAACTTAGTAGTATCCATATGATTTGCTGTCCATTCCCTAGAAGGCAAGTATTTTCCTTGGGTTAAAGATTTGACATAGACTCAAGTTGAAGCTATTTGTCTAAGAATTGTACTATTCTTTTGCTTTTAAAATGAACAGAACCAATGATCTATGTCTGCTCTGCAAACATGTCCTAATACTTCAGGGGAAAACGGGGTGGGGGAGGGTTTCACAGTGTCAGATGAGGGCCCTGTGGTAATGACTGTTTTTGTACCATCCTTTCTTGATGGTTTGATACCTTCAGATGTTTCCACCCTTCTTCATTGGAATGCTGTGTAAGGGTAAAATAGGACAACACTTCACTAAATTGGTCCTAAAGTGAGATTTGTGGTGACGTTCTTCATATGCTGTATCTACCCCTTTGGGAGTTAACAATTAATTTACCATGATGGGACTTCTTATCCAGATAATTTGTTTATATGAAGTTGCATGCTAGCTTCCTGGCCCACCTTTTGCATGTGAGCACTTAATTTATTCCAAAAATATGCCATATTGGGGTCACCCTTCTATCTATTTGATGTAGAGTGTTGCTCCACAGGTTCTTTCTTCTTGCTAGAGAGCTAGCATTAAACTATTTTTGGCATTATACATTTACCTGCTTACCAATTCTTGCTTTTTCCCAAATATGTTTACCTTTTGTGAAGTGTCTCATGTGCTTTCAGTAAAAATTCCACATATAAAAATTAAATGCAATACTTCCAATGAAACTATAATTAGTCTTCCAGCCAAAAAAAATCATCAAAATTTGCCTCCATATGCATTGAAAAGACAGTGCCATATATACCACTGTACCAGGAGACTAAACAGCTGAATTTGGAAAACCAAAGGCTGATTTAACAGAATTAAAAGTATTTGCAACCGTAATTACAGTATAAAAGCTAAAATGATTATAGTTGCATTCTTCCTTAGCCTTTAACAAGATAGGAAACAGTTTATGAAATTAAGAATCAAATAGGTAAAACAAAAAAGTTGTGAGACCAAAAAAATGAAAGTACTTCACTTACTTGTGATTGCATAAAGATACAAAGAACTCCAGTAATGGTTAATGAAAACAACAGGACTAGCAATATTCCATTTGTGATGGTAAGTTGCCACTGAAGAGAAGCAACAATAGAATCAACATATTTTTGTCATCTCACAAATATTAGGACCTAGAATATTTGAATAACATGATGCATACAAGGAAAAATTTTAAGTAATCCCATTTCATACTCATCACAACATTTTCATAATTGGTTTATTAACAAATATACTGGAGTCCCTACCAAACTTAGTATCTCTGCTAAATTTTTATTTCTTAAATTTATATGGCAGTCAACTCAATACAAAATTGAAACAGAACATTGTACCTGGAATGACAGATGACTCACACATACACAATCATTTCATTAAGGTGGAAGAACCAGGCCTTCAGCACCTTGTTAAAAGGCAACTTCCAGGGAAGAAATGAGGAATGCAAGACAGCTCCATTAAGAGTGGTACCCAAAACTACAGCCGAATGAAGAGCAGTTGAGTGGGTCAGAGAAAGACAGGACTTTCCACAAGTGCACTAGACAGTTGCTTCTCATAAAAAGCATGTCTCTGGTGGATTTAAAGCTCTTCCGAATCTCTCAAAGCTCTAAACCCACCAGAGATATGTTCCTTGTGCGTCCAATGATGGTTTTTTGAGGAAGAAGGGCCAGTATCATTGCCTCAAGAGATGAAATCACCTTTATTTGGATCCAATTACATGTTTCTCAGAAAGCTTTAACCAACCAGGAGCGACACAGATCTAAAACAGATGGCTAAATTGACATCCCCAAGGTTCCCTTCCACTGCTTTGGGACCATTAATAACTAAACAGTCTTAATAAAAATCTTCTGTGCCACTTTATATCTTGGATGCATTCCTTTCTCTGTAGTTCCACTATATAGTAGTCTTTCCTTTGATTCAACTCTCAGAATTTACAGAATTTATTTTAATATTAATAAATATACTTCAGGAAAAGATGAATCCAAACATTTCTATTGAAATAATTTTTAAAATTTTGTTTTTGTTATTTTTCAAAATATAAACAAACACCTCACTTAACAGCTACTTGTTCAACAACCTTTTGAACATACTACTTTTTATTCTTGTAATTGTAATATTCAATAACCTTACTATAAAAATGCAGATTAGTGCTATTTATTTTTATTGCTTTTAAAATAACAGGAAAAGGAAAAACAAAAGAAATAAAAACAAAGGCATATATATTATTTAAAAATTATATAATGGTGCTTAAAAAATATATTAAAAATATAATAGAAAAAATATGACATTACAATGATTAACAGTATATAATTACAATTCTACATATAATTATCTAATTACAATTCTACATATAATTATATATATATTTGTTTTCTGAGGTTTTCGCGGGTATTTGTATGTAGGTCTTTGGTTGTTCGGGTTTTCTCCCGCGTAAAATTGGAAGTGTCTTGGCGACGTTTCGACGAAGTCCCATTCGTCATCTTCAGGCTGGTGCTTTCAGCTTCGTGCTTTGAGCAGCAATGTGTGGTCTTAGCTGTTTATTCCTTTTAACTGCCAGTGGGGGTATGAACTGATTGGGTGGGAGCTTGGCTGTGTTCTGATTGGGTGGAGGTGTGTTCTGAATGGTTAGGGGCTTGGCTGTGCTCTGATTGGCTGGGGGAGTGTTCTGTTTGGTTGTGCTCAGTTAGTCTGAGTTGCAGAGGGGTTTAAGATTTTGGGCTGCCTTGCTATTTTTTGGCTTCGCGTTCGTGGTCGTGCCTCCTCTTCATGGAGGGTGTCAGTTTGCTTCATGTATGGATTGGAGGGGTTTAAAGTGGCTAATGATGCAGCTGTGGTCTGGCTTCTGGTTTGTGGTCGTGCCTCGTCATCGGTGTGGCTTTGGGTTTGTTTTTTGCGTGGATGTGTGGTGGTGACATCCTGTGTGGTTTTTGTGAGTGTGGGTCTGGTATCATTTTTTGTGTTAGGGAGTCGTTTGTCAATAAGGGCGGGTTTCCAAATGGCTGGTAGGCGGGAGGTATCATCTCGCTTGTTCATGCTGTGTGGGCGTTTTTCTATCTCGATGGCTTCTCTGATTATTCTGTTATTAAAATGTTCACTTTTGGCAATGGTTCTGGTATTTTTAAAGTCAATTTCATGTCCTGTGGCTTTAAGGTGTTGGACCAGGGAAGATGTTGGTTCCTCTTTTTTGACTGAGTTCTTATGTTCTTCAATGCGTGCACTTATTCTTCTGTTGGTTTGTCCGATGTATGTGGTGGGACAAGTGGTGCATGGGATTTCGTATACTCCTTGATTTTCTAATTCAATTTTATCTTTGGGGTTTCTAAGGATGGTGGATATTTTTCTGTTTGTGCAGAATGCTGTTTTGATGTTGTGTTTATGGAGGATCAGCCTGAAGATGACGAATGGGACTTCGTCGAAACGTCACCAAGACACTTCCAATTTTACGCGGGGAGAAAACCCGAACAACCAAAGACCTACATATATATATATATATATATATATATATATATATATATACACATATTTAAACCCCATTTCAACTCCGGTTGGGCTGCTGGAACGTGCTGTATTGCCTCAGCTGCTGCTTAATCTGTAAGTTTTGGGAGAATCCACCAGGAAAGTAGCGAGGCCCTGATTGGATCTTCATTATATTTATAGTGTATTATACTCTATTTAAACCCCATTTCAACTCCGGTCGGGCTGCTGGAACGTGCTGTATTGCCTCAGCTGCTGCTTAATCTGTAAGTTTTGGGAGAATCCACCAGGAAAGTAGCGAGGCCCTGATTGGATCTCCATTATATTTATAGTGTATTATACTCTATTTAAACCCCATTTCAACTCCGGTCGGGCTGCTGGAACGTGCTGTATTGCCTCAGCTGCTGCTTAATCTGTAAGTTTTGGGAGAATCCACCAGGAAAGTAGCGGCCCGCGCGCCTAATGGCGCGCGAATTATATAATTATATAACTAAAAATCACAAACAGTAGCAGTACATTCAGGGCAAGTGTGTCTAACATCCCCTCTGTCTAAGATGTCTGGCTTAGTTCAGTGCAACACTTGCTTTGCAGCTGTCTTTCGCAGTACCCTTTTCAAACTTGGAAACTGTCCTATCTGTAAACAAATCACTAGCCTACAAGGACAGATCATTTACCTAGGGTCTGTAATCCGTGCTCTTCGGGCAGAAATTAGGTGTCCAGTTCAGCCCCTCTACTCTAGTAAGCCTCCGTGCTATCAGCCCCCTTTACCACAAAGATCCTGCAGGAGAAGGGCAGTGTGGACAACCGTGGGATCTGGCAGGGTGAGAGCTGTGAACCATAAACACAAAGCTTTCGCTGTGTCCCTGCACAACAGTTACAGTGCCCTTGCTGACCTTAATAGGGACATTAAGGAGACAGGTAAAGGTATTTGTGAAGATAACTCAAATAAGCAGGGGATTGTGGTCCGAGATGAAGAACTAGATTTTGACAGGGAGAAGTGTGAATCAGGTATTGCACATCAGTCATGCAAGAATAGAAAGGCTCCCAAAAAGAGAAGCTACCTTCTGGTAGGTGATTCAATTATAAGGGATGTAAATTTAGGAAAGGACACAGAGGCTTTGAAAGAGGTCAGGTGTCTTCCAGGTGCTACTGCCAGTAGGGACAAGAAGCGTATTTCTAAAATAATCAAGAATGGCAGCAAGGACTTTGATGTGGAGGCTATTGTACATCTTGGCACTAATGATCTGTCCCAAAAAGATGTACTCTCTGTGCAGAATGATTTCCAGAGCTTGGGGAAGGAACTTAGCAGAATAGGCTGTAGGCTTACTTTCTCAGAGGTTTTACCAGTGTATAAGGAGCAAAACGGAAAAGGCCAGCGCATAGCACAATTCAATATGTGGCTAAAGGAGTGGTGTAAAGGGGAAGGCTTTGGATATATTAGTCACGATGTCAGTAGCTGGTCCAATCAAAAGATGTACAAAAGAGATGGTTTGCATCCATCAAAAAAAGGGACTGAGTTACTCGGCTATAAATTCACAGATTTTCTGGAGGGAAATTTAAACTAAACAGCGGGGACAGGGAGTTAATTGATACGGAACAACCCTGTCCCCGGCAATTTAAAAACTATAGGGCTATCAGTGCATGTAGCATAGATGTGTGTGTGGACAAGAATATCAACCTTGCTATCAAGCAAAATGAAGCATCTAATAGCGAGTGCCACATAAAGTGCACTAACCAAATAGGTGGTAAGACAATAGGGGAACTCAGGCACCACACAGGTTATGTAGAAAGGAAACACAGGGCCACCCACAAAGGACTCAAATGTTTATACACCAATGCACAGAGTATGAACAGCAAACAGGGTGAACTAGAAATTCAGGTTAATGAGGGCAGATACGATATTGTTGCCATTACGGAAACATGGTGGGATGAAACCCACACATGGAACACACAGCTAGAGGGATTTAAATTATTTAAAAGAAACAGACCAAATAAAAGAGGAGGTGGAGTTGCTCTCTATATAAGAAATAACTACATCTCCACAGAAATAGAGCACAACAATGATAAAAACTGTCTTGAATGCATTTGGGTCAATATAAAAGGGGGGGGAAATGACATTGCCATAGGTGTATACTACAGACCACTCAACCAAACAGAGGAAATAGATGAACTTTTTGCTAGTCAGCTAACTAAGGTATGTAGGAAGCACATCACAATAGTAATGGGGGACTTTAACTACCCTGACATCAACTGGGAGACAAACTCCGCACCAAGTGGAAGATCAAACAGGTTCCTGGCAAACCTAGCAGACAACTTTGTCTCCCAAAAAGTAGAGAAGGGAACTAGGGGATTAGCCATTTTGGATCTAATTCTCACTAACAGAGATGAAATGATAGACGGTGTTGAAGCCATAGGAACCCTGGGAGGAAGTGATCATGCAATATTAGAATTCAACATTATAGAAGCACAAGCAATAGAACACAGTCAAACTAGAGTCTTGGACTTCAAGAGAGCTAATTTCAATAAACTTAGAGAGGGCTTGGGAAGGATTCCATGGATGAGAATCCTCAAGGGGAAAACAACTCAAGAAGCTTGGGAAATTTTGAAAAATGAGATAATAAAAGCACAGTCTAGCACAATACCAACAAAGAGGAAAAACAACAGCTCCCAAAAGAAACCAGCATGGCTCATAAAGAACTCTCTGACAAATTGAAAGATAAAAAGGACAAGTATAGAAAGTGGAAAGAGGGGAACATAACTAAGTCAGAATATCAGCAAATAGCCCGAGCCTGCAAAGATGAAGTGAAGAAAGCCAAGGCTCAAAATGAACTAAGGCTTGCGACCAAAGTCAAAAATAACAAAAAAAGCTTCTTTCAACATGTAAAAAACAAGAAAAAAGTGAAGGAAATGATTGGTCCATTAGTGCGTGGAAGTGGCAAGAAGGTGACACGCAACAGGGAGAAAGAACTATTTAACTCATTTTTTGCGTCTGTCTTTACACAAAGGGAAAAAACAGACCAACCTATCAAAAATAGTGCCATAAAAAACAAAACAGAAACATAAATTAAGATAGGCAAGAAAATGGTTAGTGAGCACCTGTCCAGCCTAGATGAGTTCAAATCGCCAGGACTAGATGGATTACACCCCAGAGTTCTCAAGGAACTGGCAGATGTGATATCGGAGCCACTGAACTATATTTTTCAAAGATCATGGAACACAGGGGAACTACCAGAGGACTGGAAAAGAGCTGATGTAGTTCCCATCCTCAAAAAAGGAAAAAAAAATGGATCCAGGGAATTACAGACCTATCAGCCTGACCTCAATACCTGGGAAGATCCTGGAAAAGATAATCAAACAACGAATCAACGAACACCTAGAGGCAACAAAGTCATTACTAAAAGCCAACATGGGTTTGTCAAAAATAGATCATGCCAGACAAATCTTATTGCATTCTTTGACCAAGTGACAAAATTAGTGGATCAGAGGAATGCTGTGGACATAATTTACTTGGACTTCAGTAAGGCATTTGATAAATTAGATCACAACCTACTACTTGACAAGATAGAAAAATGTGGGGTAGACAGAACCACCACCAGATGGATCCGTAGCTGGCTGACCGGCCGTACTCAGCGAGTGGTCCTCAATGGAACTGCATCTATATGGAGGGAAGTGTGTAGTGGGGTGCCCCAGGGCTCTGTTCTGGGCCCAGTACTCTTCAACATCTTCATCAATGATTTGGATGAAGGGATAGATTGGGAACTCATCAAATTTGCAGACGACACCAAGCTGGCAGGAATAGCCAACACTCCAGAAGACAGGCTTCAGATACAGAAGGATCTGGACAGACTTGAACACTGGGCACTAACTAACAAAATGAAATTCAATGGTGAAAAAAGCAAGGTTCTACATTTAGGCAAGAAAAACCAAATGCATAAGTACAGCATAGGTGGCACCATGCTCAATAGTAGTAACTGTGAGAGGGACCTCGGAGTCCTAGTAAACAATCACCTAAATATGAGCCAGCAGTGTGCTGCAGCTGCCAAAAAGGCCAACACAGTGCTAGGCTGCATTAACAGAGGTATAGAATCAAGATCACGTGAAGTATTAATACCACTCTTCAATGCCTTGGTAAGGCCACACTTGGAATACTGCATCCAGTTTTGGTCACCACGATGTAAAAAAGATGTTGAGACTCTAGAAAGAGTACAGAGAAGAGCAACAAAGATGATTAGGGGACTGTAGGCTAAAACATATAAGGAACGGTTGCGAGAATTGGGTATGTCTAGTTTAACGAAGAGAAGGACAAGGGGGGACATGATAGCATTATTCCAATATCTCAGGGGCTGCAATAAAGAAGAGGGAATCAAGCTATTTTCCAAAGCACCTGAAGGCAGGACAAGAAGCAACGGGTGGAAACTAATCAAGGAGAGAAGCAACCTAGAACTAAGGAGAAACTTCCTGACAGTGAGAACAATTAATCAGTGGAACAGCTTGCCTCCAGACGCAGTAAATGCTCCAACACTGGAAGTTTTTAAGAAGAGACTGGACAGCCACTTGTCCGAAATGGTGTAGGGTTTCCTGCCCGAGCAGGGGGTTGGACTAGATGACCTCCAAGGTCCCTTCCAACTTTACTATTATTATTATTATTATTATTACATACATACATACATACAAATACATACACACCCACACACATGCATACATACATACATATGTGCGTGGGTGTATTTCTAATATATAATAACTATCGTAATTTTTAACTATATTTTGAATAGATGAGTCCCATATTTTATTATACTTATCCGTACAAACTCCACATCTATAGCCAAACAGCTCATAAGTAGCAAGTATAACCAAGTCTCTAATCCACTGAGTAAATGGGACTGAATGTCACTCTTCTAGCTATAATAAAGACACAGAGAATCTATTTGCGTTACCCAGTTGTCAAATTCCATGTGCTGGGAATGCGATTCAAGAAAATATTATTCTCTGTAAATGTTACCTTTTGTTACACATTCACATTTATATATTCCACTACTTTCTCCCAAAACTTAATAAGTATAGGATATTGTAAAACATGTGTTTTTAAGGAAGCATTATCCAACAAAATGCTTTCCTAGAGAATCCTTTTCTGAGACCTTTAATAGTGTCCAATGCACTATAAATATTATTTTTGTTGTATAAGTTATAATTTAAGGCTCATTGACATTCCTGCTGTAGAAATTAAGACACTCCCATTGGCAAGACAATATAGGAACCTCTTTATTCACTCTTAGACATTTCTAAAATTCTGTTTTCACTTCGTCATTAAGGGGTACTGAGTGTAGATTAATGAGAAAAAAAATGAATTTCAACAATTGTAGAATCAGGCTGCAGTATAACAAAATTGACAGACATTAAGGGGGTCTGAATACTTTCTGAATGCACTGTAGTTCAAGAGACAGAACATACCTGATTTTTAATTGTGATTTAATTGTTCATATCTCAAATAGTTCTATAGGATATTTAAACAGTGACTGCTTACTTTTGTCTGAAGAGCAAAAAAATGCAGTCCCAATGTCACTAATGAAGTAGAACCAACAGTCCACATCAAAGTATCTGCATCGAAGAAACTAAAACCCAAGAACACATAAATATTTCTATGACATTCATAACCACATCAACACAATGCAATTCAATTTATTCATTAACAACTTACGCATCAATGGATCCAAGCCATGTACCCATAAGGATTGTCTAAAAATAAAAATAAGTTTTATTGCATTACTTATGTATTATTACTATTATCTTACATAATATCTTTTTTTTTTGCATTTGTTCCTGAAGGAAATTCTTCATTTTCCAATTCAGAAAAAAACCTATAATTCATTCTACCATATAGAATTTTTACATGTAAATTCCCAGCCAAAAAATCCTACGCACTTAACAATATTTATACAGGTATGTTTTGTAAAATTATGTTAAACTAAAAAGAGATATACTTATTAAAATGATTCAGATGAGAGAACATAATGGGAAGTTATAAATGTGCAGATGGAGAGAAAAACCAATGTTTTTTTAGAAGAATCTTGACAGACATGAACACTGAGTCCTATTCAACAAAGTGCAATTCAGTGGTGAAAAAAGTAAGATTTTACACTTGGGCAAGAAAACCCACTTGTACAGATATAGAATAACACTGCTGGCTCAACAACAGTAATTCTGAGAGGGATCTAGCAGTCCTAGTGAATAACCACATAAGTATGAGCCAGCAGTGTGCTGCAGCTGCCAAAAGAGCCAATGTAGTCCTAAGCTGCATCAACAGAGAGATAATATCAAGATCAGGTGAAGTATTAGTACTGCTATATACTCCTTTGATAAGATCACAGTTGAAATACTGCATCCAATTTTGGTCAGCACAGTCCAAAAAAATGTTGAGACTTTGGAAAGAATGCAGAGAAGAGCAATAAAGATGATTAGGGGCTGGAGGCTAAAACACTTAGTTGCAAACTAAGTAAGTCTCGCCTAACAAAAAGAAGGATTAGGAATGACATGATAGCAGTCTTTCAATATTTGAGGGGCTGTCACAGAGAAGAGGGGGTCAACCTATTCTCCAAAGCACCTGACAACAGGACAAGAAGTAACAAATGAAAGCTTATCAAACAGAATTCCAACCTAGAACTAAGGAGAAATTTCCTGAGAATCAGAACAATTAATCAGTGGAACAGCTTGCCTCCAGAAGTTGTGGGCGCTCCATCCTTAGCGGTTTTTAAGAAGAGATTGGACAGTCATTTCTCTGGAATGGTATACCCAGGGTGTTTTGTCCTGAGCCTGCAAATGCAGGCACAGGACATTGCAAGGTTCCCGGGCAATTGCAGAAGCTGCCCGGGACCAGACTTAGTGGCGCTTGCCGAGCATGCATGCGCAAGGCGCGAAAAGTGCCTAAAGAGCTTGCCATCTTGTCCGGGGAATGGGGACATATAAAAGGAGGCCTGCGTGCCTTTGTTCGTTGTTGTTGAGTTGGAAATAAGCACAATAAAGAGCTGTTCCAGAGACATGTGTAGTCTTCATTCGCCATCGCTCCCAGGACTTAACACTGGCGACGAAGGTGGGATCCTTAACAAGGGAAGCTAGAAGGAAGTTTTAAGACTTACTCACAAGAAATCCTGGAAGGGAAAACGGCGTTAGATTCAGCAGCTATCCTGCCCGTACAGCGTCGCTGGAGAGTGAGTTTGGCTGAGAAACCCTTTCCCTGCAGAAGCGAGTGGTGAGGCATGAACTACAATGGCGAAAATAGGCCGCTTGTCAGAATTCGATGTTGCACACCCGGAACGTTGGGAATCATATGTTGCAAGAGTAGAGAACTATTTTAGGATTAACCAAGTTCATGAAGATGGGCTGAAGGCTGCCACATTGTTCTGTGTATGCGGCCAAGAGACCTTTGAAATTGCTGAAAACTTCATGGCTCCTGCTTCTCTGGAAAGTGTAACATATACAGACATAAATAAACCTCTAAAGGAACATTTTCAGCCCAAGCTGTCTGTCATTGCATGGAGGCACATGTTTGAACAAAGGGATCAGAGGGCAGGAGAGTCTGCTAAGAACTTTATCGCAGCATTGAGGCGAGCAGCCAGACCATGTGAATTTAAAGATTTAGAGGAAAGACTGCGTGATCGTTTTGTGTGTGGACTGAGAAATAGAGACTTACAGCAAAGGATCTTCACAAAAGAAGACATTTCATTCCAAGATGCTCTGCAAGAAGTTACAGCAGAGGAAGCAGCAGGCGGAGCAGTAAAAAACATGCGGCCACCCCGAAGCTCTCCAGAGACTGTTGCTGTCCACCAGGAGAACGTGCAAGAAGATTTGGAAGAGGTTCCTGAAGATAAGATGAATAAACTCTACCAGGCAGCCGGAAGGAGACAGAGGGATCGCACAGAAAAGGCTTCAATAACTCCACAATGCTTCGGATGTGGAGGACACCATAGAAGAGCAGACTGCCGGTTCCGGTTCGCCATTTGCAAGGCCTGTGGAAGGCAAGGCCACATTGCAGCCGTATGTCTGAGTCGTCAGAAGGTACAACCTAAAGAAGAATTGCATCTGAAAGGTACCAGGGTCCCCAGCCAAAATAGGGTGGGTTTCTGCGCAACACGCAGAAATATTCTGAGGACAGGCACACATAAACCCCTAAAAAAGAAATTGTCCCTTAAAATAAAGTTGCAAGGGGTTCCCTTATCCATGGAATTGGACACTGGGTCCGCTCTCTCCATAATTTCCCTCAACACTTTCAGGAAGATTTGCAGCAGCAGTGGCCTTCGAGTGAAACTCAGGCCATCCACTGTGATACTTACAGACTTTCAGAATTCTAAGGTGTGTGTTAAGGGGGAGGCCACCCTTAAAGTACAGTACAAGGATTTTGAGGGTCCTTTAGATGTGTTGGTTGTTGGGGGTGAACGTGCGAGTCTTATTGGACTCGATTGGTTTGAGGCTCTGGGAATTCAGGTCATGAGGCTGCACCATTTGCAAACGTCTAGTCTTGCAGAAGTCTGCAAGGAATTTGCAGATGTGTTTAGCTCTGAGCTTGGAACCTACAAGGGGCTTCCAGTTTCACTACGATTAGATCCATCCATTGCACCCATTAGGGTCAAGCCTAGGAGAGTTCCGTTTGCTCTTAAGAACAAGATTGATGCTGAACTAGACAAATTGCTCCAGCAGGGCTTTCTAGAGCCTGTGGATTCTAGTCCTTGGGAAACCCCCATAGTAACGCCTTTAAAGGCTAATGGGGACATTCGTATTTGTGCGGACTACAAGTGCACACTAAACAAGGCACTACAGCAACATGCTTATCCAGTACCTGTAGTAAGTCACATTCTGGCTTTCCTAAAGGGGGGGGCGTATTTTTGCAAAGCTTGACCTGGCACAAGCCTATCAACAGTTGCCTGTTGATGAGGCAGCTGCTGAGGCTCAGACGACTGTGACTCATAGAGAAGCTTTTAAAGTGAAGAGATTGCAATTTGGGGTAAATGTAGCCCCTGGCATTTTCCAGAGTATTATGGAGAGCACAGTGAGGGGTATTCCAGGAGTCTGTCCATATTTTGATGATGTCCTCATTGCAGGAGAATCACCTCAAAACCTGGCTGAGAGACTAAGGGCTGTCTTGCTGCGTTTTAGGGAAGCAGGTCTCAAGTTAAAAAAGAACAAGTGTAAGATAGGAGTCAATTTTACTGATTTTGGGGGATTCAGGATAGATGCCCAAGGTATCCATCCTTCTGCAGCTAAATTAAAGGCCATTCAGCAGGCCCCAAGCCCTAAGTCTAAAGGGGAACTACAAGCCTTTTTGGGGCTACTAAACATTTACCATGCCTTTGTGCCAAACAAAGCTGCTATAGCTGAGCCATTGCACAGGCTCTTAGACAAGCAAGCCTGTTGGCAGTGGACTAAGGTCCATAAAAAAAGTTTCAATGAGGTTAAGGCCTTGCTTACTTCTAATGCTGTACTGGCTTACTTCAATGAGCAGTTACCTGTTTGCATTGCCTGTGATGCTTCTCCATATGGAGTGGGGGCAGTTCTTAGCCATCTGTTGGCTGATGGGACACAGGTCCCTGTGGCTTATTATTCCAGAACCTTGTCTTCTGCTGAGTGGAACTACGCTCAGATTGACAGGGAGGCGCTGGCCATTGTGGCTGGCATTAAGAAGTTTCATGATTTTATATACGGCTGTCATTTCATGGTCTACACTGACCATAAGCCACTGCTAGGGTTGTTCACTATGACCAAACAGACCCCACATATTCTTTCTTCTCGTATGCTGCGTTGGTCCATTTTCCTGTCAGCATATGACTACTCTTTAATTCACAAGCCTGGAAAGGAAATGGGTCATGCTGATGCTCTGAGTAGATTACCCCTTCCAACACTGGAGCCTGATCCTGCTCCAGCCATTAATATTCTGTCCATTCAAGAGCTGCCTGAGTCTCCCCTCAATGCAAGGGATGTGGCTGCAGAAACTGCCACTGACCACACGTTCACATGCGTTTTTCATGGGTGTTGTCAGGATGGCCTGATAGATGCCCTGATACTGAGTTTCAGAGTTTCTGGCAAAGAAGACATGAGTTGTCCACTTTCAAGGGTTGTCTGCTATGGGGAACTAGGGTAGTAATCCCTACCTCATTGAGGACTAGAGTGCTGCATTCTTTACATGAAGGACATCCTGGCATAGTCAGGATGAAGGCACTTGCACGCAGCCATTTGTGGTGGCCTCGCCTCGATAAAGCCATTGAGGCTCAAGTACATGGGTGCCATGTGTGCCAACAATCCTGGCCTGAAATGCCTCAGGCCCCAGTTCATAGATGGGAGGAAACTCAAACCCTATGATCCAGGGTACATATAGATTACACTGGGCCCTTTCAGGGGCAATTCTTCTTGGTTGTTGTTGATAGCCATTCTAAGTGGCTAGAGATTGTTCCTGTGTCCTCCACTACTGCTGCCAAGACTATCCAGGTGCTGAGAAGTATTTTTGCAACTCATGGCCTTCCAGATGTTTTAGTTTCAGACAACGGTCCTCAATTTACCTCTTCTGAGTTCCAGGTTTTCCTCCAGGCCAACATGATCCGCCATGCAACTTCTGCTCCTTTCCACCCATCCACCAACGGAATGGCTGAACGTATGGTGCGCACCACCAAGGATGCCCTTAAGAGACTCTTACAGTGACTGGCATCACAGGTTAGCAGACTTTCTTCTTGCACATCGCACCACACCCTGCACAGCCACCGGGAAGAGCTCTGCTGAACTTCGTTGGGGTCGCCGGCTTACTATTAAGTTGGACAGGCTGCATATGGATAGGAGGGGCATCTCAGGTGTTTCATCCGAGGGCACCAAGGAGCCTGCAAGTGGGTGCTCCGGTCTGGACTCGGAACTACGGGCCTGGTCATCTCTGGGTACCAGCTGTGGTCTGCAAGTTCTCGGGGCCCTTGTCTTATGAAGTGTCCCTGGAAGACGGCTGCGTTCTTCAGTGGCACATAGATCAGCTGTGTGCGAGGCTGGAGTTTCACCCTTCCGCTCCTGGCTCTGCTCTGGGGGGGGGGGGAGGAAGGTAATAGAGTGCATTTTGGGGATCACTTTCAGCAGTCATTATTGGTCGCTGAGGAGGTCAGTGATCCCACATCTCAAGATTCTGCAAGTGCTCCAAACAGGAATCCTGCAAGAAAACTGGCAATACAGCATGGGGGCAGGCCAAATTCCGCAACTGCTCCCAGAAGGAAGTCTTCTAGAGTGGGAACGATCAGGGAGGCTACTCCTGACTCTGGCACCTCAGGCATGACCTTGGGATCCGCCGAATACTGGGGCCCCTTACACACACCTGTGTCACAGGGCAAGTCCAAGAATGGTCGCGGGTTCAAGGACATAGGTTCTCAGGAACCATCCAGAGTAGTTCTGGAATCCTCAGCCAACTCAGAAGGTTGGGAGAGTGCAGCTGCTCTCACAGAGCCTGGAGGAAACTTTGGCATTTCTGTCGGTACGCCCTATCAGGGGTCACCTGCAAAACCTGTGCATAAAAGTCCTGGTCTAGCAAGCTCATCAAACGGGCTGGTAGGCCAGGCACCTTAAGGTCAAGTCCTGGTCTGTCCAGTCGGGCAGGGGAGCTGTCAGGCCAGGCAACCTCCCTAATCCTGCATAGGTCCCAACGGGTTAAGGCCCCTCCTAAACACCTAGATGAGTATGTAAAGTTCCTGTCAGCATAAGAACAAGTCTATGGTGAGGAGATGGAACCTATGTGGGTAGCAATAGAACCTGCAAAGCACACATTAGAGAGTGGCAAACAAGTTGTAGTAGAATGGAGTGTCTGTGGGATGGGAAAAGAAATTATTTTTTTTATATCTATATTATTTTATATTCTTGTATGGATTGTAAGAACAAGTACTGTGTGTGTTCTAGCTAAGAGGGGAGGGGTGTTGTGTCCTGAGCCTGCAAATGCAGGCTCGGGACATTGCAAGTTTCCCGGGCAATTGCAGAAGCTGCCCGGAACCAGACTGAGTGTCGCCGGCCGAGCGCACATGCGCAAGGTGCAAAAAGTGCCTAGAGATGTTGCCATCTTGTCCGGGGAATGGGGACGTATAAAAGGAGGCCTGCGTGCCTTTACTCGTTGTTGTTGGTTTGAAATAGGCACAATAAAGAGCTGTTCCAGAGACATGTGTATTCTTCATTCGCCATTGCTCCCAGGACTTAACACAGGGGTTGGACTAGAAAATTTCCAAAGTCCCTTCCAACTCTGTTAGTTTGTTATTATTCACTTGAAAAAGTGCAAACGACAACAGAGTCAAATACTCGTAGTTATTATATGTTTCAGGCGCATTCCTAGATGCAATCATTTATAAAATGCAGTTATCCTTATGCACCACTAATAGTAAACAAAAATAATTTGAAGTGATTTATGACCTATTAGTAATTAAGATATGACTCTGGGTAAGTACTAAGGTCATGATGAGTTATATAATTTATAACATGCTAGAGTAAAAACCACTTATGGCAGAAAATTATTTTTTTAACCAATTCAGCTTGACAACTTTAATGAACATTCTCAGGCTGTTTATGCCAACACACTGCATATTCATAATTACTATTATATGCAATATGGGGATGAAACAGCATTTCCTCAAAACTTATATTGGGGGTGAAAATAGCTGTAGGATAGGAAGTACAGAGTTTTATTGTTTTGAACTTTATACGAATTAGATTAGCTTTCTCTATCCTGGTGCCATATTAGCCAAGCTTGCTGGGACCTGGGGCGATATTGGCAGAAATTCTGGTCCAGCACATTTCAGTCTGGAATGGAAAATATCACACTAGACAGTTCTATCTGTCTTCATTTTTACTGTAAAAACCAAGTAGAACATTATTCAAATTATAAAGTATTGCAGAGCCTAGGTGCAGCAAAAGGTAGCAATGACATACTGTATATAATAAACTGATATTAAAATATCATTAATATAGACCATTACTTTCAAGAGATACTTACAAATAATGCTAATAAAATGATATTCAAAGGAAATTTTCTTCGGGCTTGATCACAGCATGCTAAGGCAATAACAATTAGCAGGATTGCTGGTCTAAAAATCAGATAAACATACTATTATCATAGAGTTTAAAATGCCCTGTTGTTATCTTACAATTGATATAATAAAAAATTAACATTCAATAAATAATTATAGATAAAATTATATTTACATTTAATAATCCAATAAAATGCCTTTAAAGGAAAACAATATAAACTGAATAGATCTTTAAATTTCTTTAAAAAAAATGCAGTGATGAAGTTTAAGATATTACAGTAAACACACCATTTCTCAAAGAGCAAACATCAGTTCCAAATTTCAGTCTAACCATATTGGATTAATAATTGATGCAGGTTTCCTATAAATAGAACTGCTTCTCTCAGTGGAAATTTGAAAGGACACTTTTCAAACTCACACATACAGCCCCAATGACTTGACTGAGTTTCCATGGTAGATTTGGAGGACATGAAAGCTTGACATGAGTAGAATCACCCCTTGCTCGTTTTGGTTAGCAGACTGGCATCCATTTTTAAAATCTCAATAAGACAGAGATTCTATCTCATAATGGTATTAGAACTCTATTATGATTATTATAAGAATATCTCTGTATTATAACTCAACTAAAAGGTTAATTTAATTCCGCATCTAATTGACCTTGGCTAATTTTTGAGGCTAAGCAGGACTGACTCTACATACTTAGAACTTGGGTGGATGGCGTCCTGTAATTAAGAGTTGTAGGTTAGACTGGAAGTAAAAGATACATTTGGAAAAAAAACTGCAAATCCCTTCTATATTGCTACCAATAAAATAATGTGGGTAGAATCTCCTGACACTGAGCTAATGCAAGATGACTTTCCTTGCAATCCAATTTACTGAGTATACCACTTCTCTCTGATTATTTTCATAATAATCAAAAACACTCTGATGAAATTTTAGATAGGTGATCATCTTATGTCAAACATACAATATATTTGCTTAATATTATTAAGTAATGTTTCTTAGCCTACAGACTGCAGATACAATTGGTACTACAAGTTGTTGGTTTGCTTGTTCAGGGATATTGTTTTTTTAAAGTTTTTCTATGAAATAATATATATTTACTAAGGAGCAGATTTTAATGATTGACAGTTGCATATATAATACTTACAAGAGAGAATAGCAAAACCATGGACGTCTCCGAACCCATATTTTAAGGTATTTCCTAGACCAAAAAAATTCAAATATAGTTACAGAAATGATACAATGGAATTAATTAGTAATTTATTCAATACATTTTAAAATACTTCCATCTCACCTTTTTATATTCAGTAGGGATCTAAACAATATTAAAAATAATGAGGTTCAAAATGCAATAAAACAACAGAAAGCATGTTAATCATCAGGAGCTTAATTTACAGAAAACATTTTACAATTATTATATTTTAAATAATTATATAGGAGAAATTACTTTTTTAAAAAAAATCCACCTCTGTCAACAAAAGGTTGTGTGTGTGTGTGTGTGTGTGTGTGTGTGTGTGTAATGTTCTTCCTACTTTTTCCCATAACAGTAGCCCTGTAAGATAGGTTGGATTTTTTTTTCCATCAAAAGAAAACAAAAATCAGCTGCTCATACAAAGCAATTGTTTAGTAGCAGAATATAATTTTTAACCAGATAGAGGAGAAAAACTGTCAGATATAAATTTGTAAGTGTAGATTTTGCATAAGTCCATTATGTATATTTAAATGGTGCTTTCTGTATAACGGAGCATTTTTCTGCATTTAAAATTGTATTTCAAATTAAAATTTGACATCCATAATTTTGGGGTAATTTGTGAGTGCTCCAGCACTGAAGGTTTTGAAGAAGAGATTGGACAACATTTGTCTGATATGGTAAAGGGTTTCTTGCTTGAGCAGGGGTTGGGCTAGAAGACCTCCAAGATCCCTTCCACTTCTATTATTCTGTTATTCTAGTGGAAATGTATTTACCTTTGTTACTTTGTGAATAATGGAATAAACTATTTAGCACATAATTCTCTATATCACCTGAATAATAGACCTTGTGTCCCAGATGCAATTCAAGCAGTGAATATTGTGGAAAGACAAGGAACAGGAGACATTTGATCCCTCCCCCCATTATTCAAATCCTAGAAAACATGAAAGTTCTATAATGAATAACTTTGTTAGTCACTTTGCTTCATGTTAACTTGTTTATCTTTTCCTAAGTTGCACCTTGTTATTTGCAAAGGGTGTTTTTCCCTCACAGTAAGAGAAGAAATACTTGAATCCACTAAAATGAAATATAATATGGGGGAAGAGAAAATGAGAAAAGGATGAAAAGATTAGACTTTCACATGTCAAAGATTAGAAAACAATTGGCTAAGAGCATGCCGCTTGGAACAATTGAAGGCTGGGAGAAAATGCACCTTCTGCAATGTGGCAAATAATATCAAAAATATACACAACCCTCAACCATTCAAGGCATGCTGATCACACTGATGTGACCAGATCTATCCATGTGATAGATCTCCTGCACACCGCAAGTGGCATATTTGGCTGCAAGCAAAACACTGTTTTTTCGATGGTGTGCAGTATTTAGGAGCTCCCATGTAATGGAATGAGTTGAATATTATACTGCATTATTGTTGGAACCAGTTGCTGCTAAATTTAGGTACCCGCGAGAGTTATTGCCCCAACATATCCTGACGGCACCAAGTTGGTGACAGCTGCAATAAAGCACACTTACCAGTAGATGAACATACATATTATAGCATCAGTATAACCCAGTTGAAATGCCAACATGAGATATAATTTCCAAAGAAAGGCTAAGGAAACAAAAATAATTTCAGATTATTATTTAAAACAAATGAGGCATTCAAGTTTTGTCTGGAAGTTAAAAGGTATCCAGAAAGCAAAAATGGCACCATTTTAATAAATCCATGGATTATTCAGTTCACCAAATATGTAAGGTTAGATAATGTAAATAAGAACCTCTTTTGTTCCCACAGGTTATTCCTTTCAAATGTAATATACCTCAGTTGCTTTTTCAGACACTGAACAATTGTGTGCTCAACAACTTTCTTAGATGAAGAGCAGCAAAGTTTCTGCCGTTGTTTTCTTTCTATGATTATCAGTCCTATGAATCAACTAGGGCAGGGGTCTTCAAACTTGGCCCTTTTATGACTTGGGGACTTCAACTCCCAGAATTCCTCAGCTAGGCATGCTGAGTCAAGTCATAAAAGGGCCAAGTTTGAAGATCTCTGAACTAGGGGATAGCAAATAGGTGTAACTCACTGAGATGCATAAGAGGAATATGTTGTTAAACCCATAATTTCCATTGACAACACAGGAAAATGGTTAAAATATGCTTTGATTTATTTATTTTTATTTATTTGATTATAGGTAGTCCTCAACTTGCGATCACAATTGAGCCCAAATTTTCTGTTGCCAAGTGAGACATCTGTTAAGTGAATTTTGCCCCATTTTATGAACTTTCTTGCCATAGCTGTTAAGTGAGTCACTGTAGTTGTCAAGTTAGTAACATGGTGGTTAAGTGAATCTGGCTTCCCCCATTGACTTTGCTTGTGGGAAGGTTGCAAAAGGGGGGGCCGTGTAACACTGAGACACTGCAACCCTCCTAAATATGAACCAGTTGCCAAACAACCAAATTTTGATCAGGTGATGCTGCAGTGATTATATGTGTGAAAAATAGTCATAAGTCACATTTTTCAGTGCTGTTGTAACTTCAAACAGTTACTAAACGGACAGCTGTAAGTCAAGGACTATCTGTATTTTTTTTTCTGCATAAAGAAATTAATTAATGCTGAGAATAAGCAACAGCATTTGCTGAATTCAAAACAAAATGTTTTGTATCTTCTTTTTTTGGCTTATGTTGTTTCTTGAAATTGTTGCGTAAATGAAAAAATAATGTTGATGGGATATGAATGGATTAATCTTTGACTGCTGCCAAACAACATTGCAGCTGGCAGTGGAAATGAAAGAGACATTATTAAAATTTTATTCTAGTGAAATTCTAAGGGTATCTATATCAGAGATTGAACATCAATAAACTACTTTCTGTACTTCCTTGATCGATTGCTTGTGTGCCATATAGCAAAGCATGAATCACAAAGAATGAGTTACTAGAATGGCTAGATATTAGCAAATTCACTTTCTGATACTGCCCCCCCCCCAAAAAAAAATACTGAAAAAGGAATAGGAGTGGAAACAATGAATTCAAAGTTTGCATAGTATAAATGTCAAGAAATCAGCACTGTCAAAGGTACAAAAACATATCTACTATTCTCTAATGCACACATGTCAACCACTCTGCGAAGTGGTTTCATGTGGCCTACGAAGCCATCCTGGAAACAGTGAGGGAATGGCCCCCACTGCCTTGGCCCTGGCCTGTTTTTCTCCCTCCCTCATCTCAAATATTTTCCCATCACTCTGTACTTAGGAAGGAAGGAAGAAAAGAAGGAGAGGGAGGGTCTGAGGAAAATCCTGCCTTAGTCCTGCCCTGCTGCCCTTTCACCATCCCCTTGCCCCCACCTCCTGGCCTATCCTGGGGGTCTCCCATCCTATTGCTAAGGAAGCTTTGGATACAAAGCTGGGTCTCCTCTCATGTAGAGGGAATGGGCCCCCCTCTGATTTTGCCCTTGTACCCATCATGAGTAAACTGGGTAAGAAGAGCAAGCACAGCAGCAGCAGCCTTGAGGAGAAGGTAAGTGCAGCGGGGGAAGTGGGGCTGGGCTTGATGCCGCGGGTGCTCGAGGGCCAGGCTGGGTGTTTGACCTCTGCTGTCCAGGGCGCCCAGCAGCTCACACTACCATCCAACCCACCCCGCATGGCCTGAGAGGAACAATGAGGCTCCTCCAGAGACCCTCAGATCTGTCCCACTCCTGCCCAGGCCCCCACAGGCACCCTTGACACAAACGATGTAGAGCTGGCCATGCCCACCCAGTAGGCTACACCCACTCCATCCACGCCTACCCAGTAGGCCGCACCCACCTTGGCCACACACCCCCGCCCCCCCGAGGGCAACCGCAATGCTGATGCAGCCCTCAATGAAATTGAGTTTGACACCCCTGCTCTAATGTATGTGCATGTGGGAATGCAGCGGCTTTCTAGCTTTCTATTTCCTGAACTTCTTGTCCTTCCCCTTCTTGCTGCAATGGTCTGTTCACTTCTCATCACTAGGTAAGCAAGTAAGCAGAAACAAAGAGTAGTTATAAACTTAAACTAGATTCCACTTAGGTATTAAGCAAAATCGTACTAGGGGTGTGCAAACATTTTGAATTTTAACTTTGAAATTCAAAATGTCTCTTTTCAAGTTTGATAGTAACTTTGAATAGTTTAAGTATAGAACAGCTACTTTAGAGCTGAACTTCGATTATTTCAAATTCAGAATGGTTCAAATTCCTGTTACTTCATGAACTTTAATATGACCGTTTACAGCCAATTGAATCGAATGCATCCAGTTCAAAATATACCCATTATCTCTGAATAATCTTTGTTATTGTAGATTACAAGGAATATTACAAAGTGTTAGATAAGGTTTACTAAAGTCAATTCTATTCCTGGGAAGGTGAATCTAAAGGGAAGAAATAAGAGGATTTTTATCTTCCAACCTGAAGTAACATACATTCCATTACCAACCTGATATAAAGAATTTTATATCAGTTCTTCCCTATATGTTCTTGCCATAGATTGTTGCCACTTACTTCTGCGAACAGCTTTGTCTGCAAATGGACCTGAATCTTCAATAACATTTACCATGTGTTGGCGTCTTCTGTGTGATGGTCCACGTCTTGGACGTCTACCATACGATGGAGAAGATTTTGTTCTTCTTACATGTGATGGAACCCTTTCAAATTTTGATGAAGTCTCTCGAGCAATTGTTCTCTCTTTACTCTGTGGTAAAATATCTTCCTTTACAAATTGCTTCACTGTCCTTGGGACGTCTGGAGAATCACCACCAGGATGTTGGTATTTGATGTATGCTATATCTCCACATAAACTTATATTATTTTCCATCTTGGGTAATTCCATTCCAGTTATACCTTTAGAATGAACACCAATAAACTCATTATAATGGTTATTGTTCTTAAACTCAGTTTCAAATTTATCTTCTTCATCCTGCTGCTGATGAAGTGTGCCCAGCCTGGCGCTTTGTAAGACATCTGCTAGCTGTGCCAGGCCTTCTTCCTGAGATTATGTGCAGTCTTCTTATGAGGTTTTGAAGCCTTCCAAAGCCTCACAAGAAGGCTGTGTGCTATTTGACCAGGGCAGCAAGACCAGCCTGAGCATGCCTCATCAACAGCAGAAGATGGAAAAGGGCAGCTGAGGGCAGCAGAGGCAGTGGAGTCCTGAGTAGCCAAAAAGGTACACATGGGGAGAGATAGGCAGGTGGGAGAGATAAAGAGGAGACAGTTTCTTACCTTACCCAGACTCCTGAGTGGAAGGGAGCAAGCTGGGAATCAGGGTGAGTCCTTGCCTAACAACTGGTGAGATTCAGTTAAGAAAGGCAATGAGGATGTTAGAATTGCAATGTGGTCATGTGATATCACTCTTTACAACTGCATCACTTAGCATGGAAATTTCAGTCCAAATTACTATCATTAACCAAGAACAACTGCAATCTGTTTTTCTCCAAAATAATTTAGGTTAAATAAAGTATTGTAAACCAATGGGCAGATTAAGCTGTTATTTGGATTGCTTTCACCTTTTCTAAATTGTCAAAGTATAATTTAAGAATAGAGGTGTTGATGTTTCTCTGCTCTTTCCCTGCAGTATTTTTACCTTCCACTTCAAGAAAAAGATTTAGGACACTTCCATGGCTGGTTTAATTTTTTACCTTGGGTTAGAAGTGTGGGAAGTCAGCCCCCCAGAGAAAGAAATATTAAAAAGGGCAGAAAAATATATTTCCTCCAAGGATCTTAAAGAGATAGAAAAACATGCCCAATTTTTCTTAATAGCCACAAGTCAGCCTTCCCCAAGCAGAAGCCAGCTCTGTACAAACGCAGATGCAAACCATCAGGAAAGTTGGAGCTAGAAGCTTAGGAAGACAAAGAAACCTAAAATCTGCATACCCCACCCAAACTCTAAGAGTCATTAGCCCTAGCACCAGGGAAGCAGGATATGACCTTTGGGACATAATAGGATTAACTCACAGATGCCAAAGGGACACAGGTCAAAATACATGACACAGGAAATACAAAGCCTCAAACAGGAACAGGAAATAACCTCTAAACAAAAGGCTCCAGAGCAGCGGTTCTCAACCTGTGGGTCGCAACCCCATTTGGGGTCGAACGACCATTTCACGGGGGTCGCCAAACAAGGCTGTCCGCCATTTTTTTCCCCTTTTCTTTAGCTGTGCTACTCCCTCTTATTCTATTGGCTTTTGAAAGCCAATAGAATAGACACTCTTGAATAGAGTCTAATTCTATTGGCTTTCAAAAGCCAATAGGAATTGTCCAGGCTGTCTCTGCCCTGCTGAGCCTGCCAAAAGCCCCAGTCTGCGAACGGTGCTGCAAATTGTGTGCAGCGAAGGCGAGCTGTCTGGAAGCTTCTACCCCTCTCTGCTGAGCAACTACTAAAAATGTAAGTAAAAGAGGGCCAGGGGTGGGAGGTGGGAGGCCAGCGAGCACAGGGAGGGTTGCTAGCACACGTGGGGCCCGGCGGTGCCTTATCTCCCTTGGGCTGGGCCAGCTGGTGGCCCAGCCGGTGGTCGGCCTGCGCCGTCGCTGCCGCTTGCCGTGGCTGCCCAGGAGCGCCTGGGCCTGCCTGCCGCCGCCCCAAATGGGCGGTGGCCAAGGTAAGGCTAGCGGGGCAGCGATGGGCACAGGGAAGGTTGCTGGCACGTGTGGGACCCGGCGGGTGCCTTACCTGCCTTGGGCTGGGCCAGCTGGTGGCCCAGCCGGTGGTCGCCCTGCGCCGTTGCTGCCCCTTGCCAGCTACGCCTCGGCCGGCGCAGGGGGCGGCACCACGCATGTGTGGTGCTCCCGAGCAGGGAAAGTCCTCGACTTATGACCAGTTGGGTAGTCCTCGACTTACGACCGGTTAGGTAGTCCTCGACTTACGACCGGTTGGGCAGTCCTCGACTTACGACCAGTTGGGGGTTGCGGCATTCAAAAGGTTGAGAACCACTTCTCCAGAGGGTATAAAAACCTACTCCCTACATGTGCTAAGTTCGTTTTCTCTCCTCTTTTCTCCAGAACCATCTTTCTGTTTGGCTCTTCAATAAACTGCAACCTTCTTTCTAAAGCAGTCGCCATGTTGTTTATCCCCAGCTTGGACTGGGACCATGATGAAGACTTTTCTTTCAACAGAAGTATGTTAGAAGATTGTGAATGCAGAAGCTACATCATTCCTCCTAAAACATTTCCCACTCAACATAGACATTTCATTTGTTTTTACTTTTTCTTTAATCAGGAAGGTAAAGCTTTCCAGTGTAGACTTTACCTTTTGAAATCAATTCATTTTATTTTAACTTTTTGAGGTTCTTCTTTGACTTCTAAGCTTTCTAGAATGAAAATTAAAATTCATTATTTTTCATAAATCAGAAACCAAGAGGAAGCATCTTTTTTCCGGAAAGCCAGTTGATTATGATTAAAAATTAAGGATGGGTGGGGGCAAAATCACACTTAATCTAGTCTGCCTCATAGGCTAGTGGTGAGAAATTAATGGATTAATACCTTCTTACCATTGTCTTTCCAAGAAGATAGACTTAAATATAATCCAGTTAAAAATAAAGTATTTTACTGAACTTTGAGATGAAATGAAACAATAGTGAGCATAGTGGTGTAATGGAAAAGCTAAAGTACTCTAAAATTTGTGTGAAATGTGAATCTAATGGAAATTTCATCTAAAAAAAGTAAGCAGTTTTATATTTTATGATTAAAAAAAATAAAGAATGCCTGCTTGGAGGAAAAAAACTTTATGCACCTGAAGGTAACACTTAGTGCCTTTCTGGCAATATTGAAACCACAATTCAAGTATGCAAATATTGGATATATTGGAAAGTAGTTATTAAAAAGCTAAACAAACATGATTTTAGAAGAGAAGTTAGTGGTTTGCCACTACATAGAAATGAGAGATTGACATAGACAGATAAGGAAAGAATGAGGCAACAGAGAAAACACTGTACCAATTAGAACAGAAACTAATCAGGCTATTCCTTATTAGAGCAATTAAACCTAAGAATTTTAGAATTAGGTATGTGCAAATTTAACATAAAAGAAGGTTGCTCAATGCTTTTGACCTAAGTGCTAAATAAACTTATTAATTTTGAATTACAGAAACTGATGTTTTGATCTGAGCAAGGAACAAATCAAAAGAAAAAAATTCTTCCAATAGATTTACACATCATAGTTGAAAAGCTAGTTATAAATAAAACATTTAAATATTTCTTTGCCAATGGCTAGCAATCTTTTATTTATGCAGACCGTTAAAACCCACCATACTGCAGGGCAGTCTCCCTATCTCCTCCATAGGAGTCTCAAATAATCTTAATTTTAAAAATAACATGTTTAATGTTGTTACCTGAAATCATGTGAGATAATAAATGATCGATCATCATAGACATTAATATTTTTGTTCAAATCTTTGCAAGATAGGATGGTCTCCCAAGATCTTTGTCATTATTCAGTCATTTAAAATGTTATTTTGGCAAGGATGTTGTCTGGTCCACTATAACATTCCTAATCACAGGATAGGAACTATTGGTCTAAGCTTTATATATAGAATTACATACAGATTAAAACAGATGTAAGTTTCTTCAAATGCTTCTTACATATAATGTTAAAATTAATGCAAAATATAGCATTTTCATCAATAGGAAAATGCTTTAGGTTAGAAGGAGTTGTAGGGTTCAAAACAAGAAGTGAAGGAAATTTATTCAGATAATACTATGCATCATTAAAATTAAGATTACTTACTAAAATATAGATGGTTGCTACATTGATTTTCAGGAAGACACTATGGCAACATAATACACAGAAGTTTCAAGCAGGAGAATTCTAAAAGCAACAGTTGATAAAAGAGTCTTACAAGAGCCAAGGAAAAATACATGGGGGAAAGGTAATGGCACAAAAACAGCAAAATCTGTTTCTCCTATACTAATCTATCTTTGTGCTCTGTTAGTAAAAGCTTATATTACTATAAACTTCAAAATCAAAACTGTTTCTTTTGTCATGCCACTGAAGATTTTTAACCAACTGTTTATTTTTTCTTTCTACTGGGAACCATAAAAGCAGGAAGTTGAGAAGTATGGCAGATAGCCTTGGCTCAGATGGTGATCATATCTTGTTAGCAGAGCTGTACAGAACATCAGATTCAAAGGTGAAAATGTGCTTTACAATATGTAGAGGCAGCAATGTAACACCTTTCTGTATTTTCTCTGTTATGTAAAATTTTAAGCTTTATTATTAGTATTACAATAAAAGTGTTATTGGCATTCTGACATGGCAAAGTGACATGAAGTTTAGAAAACCATGCTTTTCATTTGAGCCAAAGCAATTTCCTTCCAGGTGCAAAAACTTTTTCAGGGGCCATCAACTAAACAAAACAGTTGTATTCTGAAGTCCCTAATTATAGTAAAGTTGCAAGTGTTGAAAGAAATAAGCATAACATATTTTAATGGTGTTTACCTTTTCTCATGTCTAACCTATAACAAAATCTTCATGGCAGACCAATGTATTTTATTGTTTGATATTTTGCTTTCTGATACATCCTATAATTCAAGTGCACATCTGTGCTTTATATAAAGACTGAACTGCCTCTTAATAAAGTTTTGCCTGAACTACTTGTTGTTTGTATTGCCATTGTAAGGAGACATGTAAAAGCCATTTTGCAAAGGTCTTTCTCTTTCAAATCTAAGTTTTTTCAAATGTTTCTAGGTTCTTTCCAACTCTTTCCAACTCTATGGGCAACGGGATAGCAGTGTGTTCTGGGGTTGTATTGGTCCACCCCTATCACAGAACAGGTGAAAGAGGGTGAATTCACTCTCTGTCTTCAAAGGAAGTGAAGAACTAAGACAGCGTTGTCAAACTTGTAACATCACGTGACGTGTTGCAACGTGTCACTACTTTTTTGCCATTGCTGACAATAGGGTGGGCACGGTTTTGCTATGATGCATCCGGCCCATGGGCTGGTAGTTTGACACCCATGAATTAAGGAGTCAGGAGGAGGTAAATGCTAGCTGGTAGTTCCTTAGAGAACACAAATATAAGAAAATGGGAAAGAAAAGGAGCAGGAGTCTGTTGGGGCTCATGATCCATTGTAGGACCAAGAAAACCTATTGTGAGAGTGTGAGATTCACAATATTATGTATGCTTCACCTGATGGAGAAACAGCTGTACAGGTAATCCTTAACTTACACCATTTGTTTAATAAATATTTGAAGTTACAATAATACTGAAAAATTTGACTTATGACCGTTTTTATACTTACAACAGTTGCATCATCCCAATGGCCACATGATTAGAATTTGGATGCTTTGTAACTGGCTCATATTTTTGACAGTTGTAGGGTCCCAATGACATGTGATCGCCTTTTGTGACTTCTGACAAGCAAATACAATGAGGAAGCCAGATTCACTTAACAACTGTGTTATTAACTTAACAGCTGCAGTGATTCACTTAACAACTGTGGCAAGAGAGATCGAAAAATGGGGCAAAACTTTTTTAACAACCGTCTTGCTTAGCAATAGAAATTTAGCAATAGAAACTTACAAATAGAAATTGTGGTTGTAAAATGAGGATTACGTGTAATCAGTTCTGATGGTATTCAAGAGGAAGCATATGGGTGTAGGGGGAAGCCTCAGACTACTTACTTTGTGAGAGAATCAACTAGTCTGTGAACACTAGAATCTCAAAAAGAACATAAAAAGCACTAACTAAAAAGAGGCTGATACTACCATAGCAGCAGTATAACAACCTTATTTAGAAAAATGTCTGCAGGCTTAGGATGCTGGAAAGCTCTCAGTTCAAATTGGAATGAGTAAGTAGCTATATTTCTTAACAGAAAACGACAGAGATTTTTGGATAATATGGTAAGCAAAATTGATCAGAATGGAGAACTTTTAATTGATGTATTTTACATCAAACATGTGAAATAATTTTTAATCATGTGTGTGCAATTTAGTGTTAAAAGTGAAAAAGATCTTAAAGCTATAGCAGTTTCCTTTTTGTGAATTAATTTGCCATTGCAATTTGTAATTGTTTTTTCTGATTAATATTGCTCAGGGTAGAGTAATAAGTAAATTGGAAAGATTAAGGTGATGATTGCAAGGGAGTAATTTGAAACATCTTAGTATTATGAGGATTTGGTAGATAAATAGTGTACTGTGCCATTACAATCAGAATAAATATCCTTTGTTTTATTTAAAAATATACAACTAATAGAGCAAGAGGTTTGTTACTGATTATCTCTGTCCCTATTGAATGGTTTGAATGAGTTCCACATGAATCTCTCTGTCATTACACCAGGGCAGGGCCTCTCTTGCCCCCAGCACTTCTTTGCGCTTATAGCGCTGTTATAGATTGTGTACAAAAACAAACAAGGAAATGTGATTATTTTTTAGAGAAAGATTTCACAGTGACAGTGTTAATATTGATGGAAATAAGTAGCCAAATGTTTGTAAGCATTTGCCTGTGTAGATTTCTATGTTTAAATGTATAAAAAACAGTCAATTTGAAAAACTGTTTTGTGTTCTGGAAATTTAAAAATTATGTGAGCCTGTAGCTAAAGTACTAATGTTCAGACTTAATTCCTATTAATAGCGCAACAATACTGCTTCTAGCAAGGCTTTGATGCAGACTCTTCTGTAAGCTTTCTTCCAGTGATGGTTATTATTATCTAAAGATCTAAGTCAATTATAGAGTCCTGTTAATTTGTGTGTGGTGTGCTTTCTGTTCCCAACTCCTGATTTTATTTTGGAAAAAAAATTCAAAATAGAGCTTGGAGACAATGAAGAAGAAACAAATTTCAGTTAGGCACCCAGTCCTTATTTCTTGCATGCAGTGGTCCATCCTCTGTATTAAACGCCTTTTCCTTTTCTCATTGAAAGTCCTGCTGAATATTTCACATTTCTCTAAAAAGCTAAAAGCACCCAGCCAGTCCTGTGGTATACTAATTTACTTTTGAGCCCTATAATTGTAATATATCTTGCTTGCCTATTAAAATGGCAGACCAAAAGCCAAAATTAAACAGCTTAATATAAGCCAGAGTATAATTATCAAGAATGTCAAAGTTGTTCTTCAATATTATTGCTGGGGTCGAAGCAGATGTTGGTTTATCTGTTTAAAATTTGCTGTTCTTTTAATGACTTTCCTTTTCTTAATCATCAATTCTCTGCTGTTAAATTTCACCTGTATTGTTTGATTTAGTATGAAACATAAAAATAAGCTTTGCACAGGAGCTGGATGAGTCTGTGATCACCATGGAGATAATGGAAGAATAGAGTAAAATAAAACTCCCTCAAATAAAAAGTATAATTAACAAACCCAGGTTAAACGTAACTTACCATATTAAACTTATTAAAATGAAAGAATGTCTATATTATACACACTTCCTTACTGCCATTTTACTAAAAATTCCTACTTTATCTTGGAATTTGCCTTGAGATATTTTTTTCCCTCAGGGATGGGCTAATTATTTTTTGAATCAAATAAGAAAGAGGAACTGATCCTAAAAATGCACATTTTCTATGCAAAATTGCATCTTATTGTTGGTTTTGTTCATGTGCTAATTGTAAAAAAAGTCAGCACTCTGTGGCCAATGAGAATTCCCTTTCAGCAGGTCTCATCATGTCCTTTGGAAGGTAAAAAACTTGCTCCCTAAGGTAGCCACAGGTTATGAGGAATTATTTGCAGGTGATGAAATGAGCTCTGTTTGTTACCTAGAAACTCATACACCCCAACTTTGACATGGAGTTCATAAGAATGTGAACTCTAACTTTGAGAGACATTTTCATGTTTGTAAAGGAGATTCTTTGCCTTCCAAAATTGCAAATCACCATGTATGCAGGTAAAGCAAGCCATTATGGGGAGGGGTTCAAGCATTTTTATAGGGTACATAAAAGCAAATGATCTAAACAATAAAAGAGGTCAATTACAGGTAGTCTTCAACTTACAATTCATTTAGTGACCATTCAAAGTTACAACACTGAAAAAGTGACTTATGACTGTTGCAGCATCCCCATAATCATGTGATCACAATTCAGACAATTGGCAACTGACTCATATTTAAGACAGTTAGTGTCCCATGGTCAGGTGATTACGTTTTGAAACCTTACAAGCAGTCAATAGGGAAATCAGATTCACTTAACTGGGTTACTAATTTAACAGCTGCAGTGATTCCCTTAACAATTGTGGCAAAAGAGGTCATAAAATGGGGCAAAACTCATTAAAAACTGTTTTGCTTAGCAACAGAAATGTTAGGCTCAATTATGGTTGTAAGTCGAGGATTACCTGTACATGTCAAGATTTGAACAACAGAAAAAAAACATTGATTCTACATAACATTCCAAGTGGCAAATTTCCCAGTCTGGATTGTATCTTTTAGATTTGCAAGTGTCATCAAGGACTTTCAGAATATGCTCTCTGTTGTTTAGTTGCTGAAAAGACAAGTTTTTGCACATGAAAAAATCGACTTTGGCTAAAAAGAAAACATGATTTCCTGAATTTCAAAAGGCGGCATGGATGCCATGCCAAAATGCTAACATAATCTTTATGAAAAGGCTAATAGTGGAGCCTAAAATTCCAGGTAGTACACCTGGTTGCTAACAAGCTTCCTCACGATCGGCTGGCCTGCCTCGGCTCTCCTGGGAGCCTCAACCCCTTCCCGGCTTTAACAGACACCTCAGGCTTCGCCCCCGCAGCCTCGACTCGCGCAGCCTGCTGGGCATCCAGCAGGGGGCGGGCTTCTCCGGCGGCGGCGTCCTGCTTTCCCTCCGTTTCCTCAGCAGCGCCGGCCTCTCGCCTTCGGCGCCGCTTCCGCGACCGAGCCGTCGTGGCGGGTGGGCCGAGTGTCAGGAACCGAAGGAGCAAGCGGGCCGGCGCCAGGATGCCGCTGGGCCTGAAGCCGACGTGCAGCGTCTGCCGCACCACTTCCTCGTCCATGTGGAAGAAAGGCGGGCAGGGCGAGATCCTTTGCAACAACTGCACGGGCCGTTCAGGGCCGGCCGCCGCTGGGGCAGCCTCCTACGCCAGCACCTCCGCGGCCTCGCAGCACAGTAACGGGGGCGGCGGGGGCGGCGGCGGGAATAGCGGCGGCGGGAAGCAGGTGAGGGAGCCGCCCTGAGGCGATCGGTTGCCGCGCGCGGTTTGCTTCCAGGAGGTGCTGCCTTAGGGCTGGCCGGTTGGTCTGTCTCTGAGGCTGCGGGCCCCGACCTCCTCCCGCCGAACTGGAGCCCTCCAGGCATTCGACTACCGATTTTCTCAATTCCCAAGCAGCGAGAAAACTATTTTTAAAAATACGTTAAAATATTCCTTCATTCCGGGTTGCCGTTATATCGTGCTAGTTTGCTTTAGTGGTAATGTTTACATGCGGTTTCCCAACGCTAAGACGGCAACAGAAAGTACTGTAAATAAATGCACACCCAAAAGATACAACTCATTTTTTTAAGTATAAATGACTAAACTTTGGAAAGTGTGGTCGAGGTTAGTCCAAAATATGATTGAAGAAATTGAGAAAAGTGTATTGCATCTACTGGGATTTTCAACTCAAAGTTTATATGTATCTACTCAGAAATAAGTCTTATTAAGTTCACAAATGTGTACTCACATAAGTGTAGGGTTGTGTGGGGTATGTGTATATGTGTGGGGTTAATTGTGAATAAGGGCCCTTCCACTTGGGAATAAATCTCAGTCATGGGGTTGAGGATGCCAACTCAAGTTAGCTTATCTGAGGTTTTTTTTTTACTAAATAACCACAATTGTTTGACTTCATATACTAAGCCACACACAAGTAAATATACTCTTTGACACTACCAACCTTGTAGAAATGGCCTCCCTGTGGATCATCCCCTCCTTTGTTAATCTTTCAAAAACCCTGAAAAGTTAAGTTGTTTTAGAGCAGTGGTTCTCAACCTTTCTAATGCTGTGACCCCATAATACAGTTCCCCATGTTGTGGTGACCGCCAAGTGGGTGTGGCCACCAATAAGAGGGAGTAGGACAGCTAGGGAAAAGGGAAAAAAATGGCGGACAGCGTGGTTTGGCGACCCCGTGAAATGGTCATTCGATCCCAAATGGGGTCCCGACCCACAGGTTGAGAACCACTGTTTTAGAGAAACTAGTATTTTGGGATGTTTTTGTTGTTTTTGTGTCTTGTGCTGGTTTATTGTTACTATAAAAATTGTTAACTAATTTTTCATTTTGTACTCTGGCTGTTAATGAACTTTTTTTGTAGGCCACAGAGAATCTTTTGAAGGTAGTGAGATAATCATATGTTTTAGATCAGGACTTTTCAACCAGTGGTACGGGTACCACCTGTGGTACATTGGCACCTAGCAGGTGGTACGCAACCATCCTAGAAAAGTGGTAGTGGGGAAGGGGAATGAGTTGAATCGGTTGCCGCACTGCACAAGCCTGAGCGAGAGATGGCTGGAGCTGCAGGGCTGTCAGGGCTCAGTGGAAGCACCAGGATCAGTGCCAGGCTCCAGCTGGAGCTTGGCGCTGATCCTGGTGCTTCCGCTGAGCCCTGAAGAAGCACCAATCAGCTGTAAAGCAGCACTGATCCTGGTGTTTCTGCTGAGCCCAGAAGAAGCGCTGATCAGCTGGAATGTTGCAGCATCTCCAGGGTCTTGTGATTTACATTCAGATTCTTGGCAACTGATTCATATTTATGACGGTCACGGTATCCCAGGGTCATGTGAAGTGACCAAAACCTGCTGCAACCATCCAGCAGATGGGAGGAATAAAAACCAAACACCCCCCACCCCACCCCTGTTGCCAATCCTCAACAGAAATGCTCACAACAATGGAAACCTCGGACAGGAAGAAGAGCGGGGTCGGGTGGGCAGGCATCTTGCTCAGCTGTGGCTTGGGGAGCACTTTTTTCAGTGCCATTGTAACTTCGAATAGTCACTAAGCGAACTGTTATAAGTTGAGGACTACCTGTAGTTTATCAATTTTTTCCTTTTTTTTTTTTTTTTTGGTCATCAAGTTTTTGACACCTTGCTAGGCGACTGGTGGTATTCTGATGTTGCCATATCCTAAAAGTGATACAATGGGTGAAAAGGTTGAAAAGGCCTGTTTTAGATAGACAGACCTACAAACAGTGAACATGAGGTAGGATATTTCTCAGAATGCAAGAAAGTGATTGGAAATGATTTCTGAGAATTGCTAAAGCTGCTGGCACTGTGACTTGTTTTCTTGTGTCATTTTAACCAATGAGGTACATATTTTTCCTTGAAATTACTAAGATGTGTTTTTAAGTAAATAAGTTTTGAACATAAACTTTGTACTCTTTTTCACCTGTTATACTTCGTTTCTATGTCTGCCTGTCTATCTATCCACATGCATACAAACACACATATACATACATACATACATACATATATATATATATATATATATATATACACACACACACACACACACACACACATACATACACACACATATAGGAATGTATGTAAATGGAATTCAGACTAACACTTTCTAAATATTTCTTGTTTTGTATACTATAGAGTAAACAAGAAATTCATAGAAGATCTGCTCGATTAAGGAACACAAAATATAAATCTGCTCCTGCTGCTGAGAAAAAGGTTTCCACTAAAGGAAAAGGGAGAAGGCATATTTTCAAATTAAAAAATGTAAGGTGATTGTGGACTCTTGTTATTGTTAGGCATTTACTAATATCAGTAAGACTTACAGTTTAAAAATGTATTGACATATTGTGTTTTCTACATAGTTAACAGTTATCTGCAGAAAAATAGTTAAAATTCTATTTATATATATATAGTTATATATGTACAGGTTTAAAATACTATGATATGTAGATATTAAAGTTTGATGGATGATCATTCATTGGTATACATATTGCCCCAAACTATTATTATTTTCATGTACTGCTAAGCTATGAACCATTGTTTGCAAATCACTGTGACTGGATTTACATGCTTGAAAATAGACCCAAGTTCATTGAGTGAATTCACTTACAGACAATTATATTTCCTCTGTATTCCCATGGAAATGGTACCTTTTGAACTGGTCTATATGGAAAATGAGATGAATTGGATGAATTAGGGATCAATTAAGGAAAGGTTCTAGAAATCTTTGTTGAGGTGACTTGAATAAGCAATTATTTAAGGAAGTTTTATTCTTAAGCTTTTACAGTTGGGGCAACTGAACGGAACTCAAACGTTTATTGGGCAGATGCCCTTTCTGATGCTTACACGGAGTTCATAGAAGACAGCTACTGATTGGCCAGAAAGAGAAATATTTGCTGCTACCTAAGATAGAACTCACAGCCTCCTAATTGTGAGGCCAGAACTCCACCTATGTGCTGCTATTCAGTCGCCCGAACTCCACCCCAATGCAAGGAATTACAGAGTTGTTAAAAGACAAAAAATCTTAAGTTTTTACAATACTTTACACAAAATGTTAAATTAGAAATTTAGTAATTTTTATAAAAGAAAGGTTTGCATAAGGAGTACATCTTATCTTCATGGAAGGAAATGTAGAATCTGGGCCAATCATCAACATGCCAAATATATTTGATATACTATTTATAACAGATTTGGTCTACTAATTCAAATGTCAAAAATGTAATAGAATGAAATATGAATTAATTAGATCATGTTCTTTTTGTATTTATGTTTGTGTGTAATCTATTTCATATTCCAAATATTTTATATTAATTCAGCTGCTATTTTTGTTTTATTTATTCTCTTGTTCAAACAGGCTAACAAAATCAAACTATTGCTCTTGTCTTTGGGATCTAACATTTGTTTAATGTCACCTTCAAGTTGTGTTCTAACAGGTCCATCTTCTGTACAGGACAGTATATTTACATACCGCAAATGTCTAAAGATTATAATTTCATATCTGAACACATTAAGAGTAATATAAGCTGCATCCAAGTTATTGAATTTACAAACTCCAGTAATAATCTATTTTGTTATTGTGTGTTCATTTATTGAAACAGATGTATGTAGCTGCTCTGCTATAAACTAGTAAATGGTTTTCAGGCAATTTGAAATGCAGTTTCTGTAATGTTTGATTTGATTACAGATTTATATTTTGAAATACTTCCTCGTAATACTAGCCAGCATCAACTTTAGGTGCATTTTTGTTATAATTTTGTTCAGTTATAAACCTTTTTCTTTTTCTTTTAGCCCATCAAAGCTCCAGAATCTGTAGCCACAATAATTACAGCAGAATCTATCTTCTATAAGGTATGATTTTGACTTTTTTAAAAAAAGATAGTATTTATCTCCACACATGTACAACTGAATGCATCCGTAATCACTTTTAGTCTTAGAAATGTTGCTACTGTTAAATAAATACACTGCTAAAGGTCAAGAATATTGAAGCAAAAGGTTTTTAAAAAACAAAGAAAACGATTTATATGTTGGTGGAAGAACTTAATGAAGTTTATCTACTTGCTTAAATGATTTAGGAATTTATAATCACTTGTGAAAATGTCTGGTCAGAATATATTTTAAAAATTATGAAAAACATAAATAGGATTTGGAATTTAAGACTGTGAGTGCAAGTCTTGATTTAATAGGGCTTTTCTGGCTCTTTCCAGCTGCGGATTAACGAATCTCCCAAAAAGGTTGTGTCATAATTACATGTTTCTTCTAAGATTCTCTAAAAGAATAGAATTTAACATTCTAAAATTAAAAAGATATTTAAAGTAGTTGCACAAAGAGGTTTTAATTTGCATGAGTGAAAATTCAAACATGACGTTTGCAAGAACTAGGATGTCCTCCACCTATTCAAGGATCCAAGTATATAAGAGTTCTTATAGTAAATACATTATTGAATGATTATATTCCATGTTTTAAATATGATTAAAATGTATTTATGTTCCTATAACTGGATAATGAATTTACAGTTTATAGTATAGTGAGTTTATGTTTTGGTAGTATAGTGTTACTGAACTGTGTGAGTATCCACATATGACAATATTTTGAATAAAGTGGTTGGAAAATTCATGGCTGAGCTATGATATGAATTGAGAACTTCCAGGACTATGTATTTCTAAAGTGTAATGATGTATTTTTTTATTAAAGAATAAAGAAATACGCCCCCTCCCAAAAAATCTTGCTATGCTTGGGCCTTAAGACTAGGATGACTTCTTATAAGTGGGAGGCATGACATTTTCTCCCAAAATCTAATTGGGTCTAATCTTAAAAGTCCCATGTAGAGGCAGTTACTTTTGTTCCTCTCCCCCCTTTACACGCACACATTTAGGTCTTTCACAAATGCTTTGATCAACAGTTTGCAAGTTGCTTTGAAATGGCTATACTGCAGAGTTGTGGTAAAGGTGCAATAAATTTATTAAGACAAAATACCCAATGGGACTTGTTTCTCTGATAGCAGTTAAAGGACTATCTTAGGATCTTTTAGTGATTCTAAGCATACAAGCATACAATTCTAATGAATTAAGTTTTATTAAAATACAACATTTCATACCTATAGTTTCACTCTTAAATAATTTGTCCATTCATTCATGTGACTCCCACAATCGGAGCTGATCAAACATCTAGTCCGGTAATGCAGGGATATCCTGGACAGAAGGAGTGTAATGTTTTTTTGTTTTGATCTTTTATCTGATGGTTGCTGAGCTAAATTACTTTGCACAATTATTTATAACTTGCCCCTTAAGTGTTTATTTTTCCACCCCATAACCGAATAAATGTGGAAAGCTAGAACATAAAAAGTGTGAACATAAGAACTTAAAACAGGAAAAAAGAAATGAATCAATTACATATTATCTTAGGCATCAGTAAATTGAAAGGGACTGAAATTGAACACTTTAATATATAGGATAAAAAACCCCAAAAGGATTACCTTGCTTTCATAATTAGGAAGGATATAGCAAAGATGATATTTGGAGACTGAATAATATTAATTAGAATTTGTGATTTAGCTTTTAATATGACAATTATTAAGCTTATGCTCCAATCACTGATAACAGATAAAGTGGATTTTTATGGTCAAGTTAATCTGATCATAAAAGTATTCATTTGTTTCCATTACATTTTCTCATTCATCTATAGATCCAAAAAACATTGCATTTCTGTCAAACTATCAGCAAAAAGTCTACAAAGGGTTCTCAGAATTTTATAGAGATATTTCTTATTTTAATCCTGATAAAATAATTCAGCTTTGTTCTTTTTCTTTTCAAGTCTTTAGAACCCCGTTTTTTAAGATAAAATAAAAAAAAATTCCAATGATAAATCCTTGCCCAGATCATTTTTCATCTCTCGGCTCATCATTTGTTTTTCCATTCTGTAACAATCCTTGTTTTATAAGCCACAATTTATTTATTTTCCAACATTTGTCCATTGATTGGAATTTGTTTCATCTCTTCGTCTTGTTGGTCTATAATTTATATTTATGATAGTAATAAGATTTATTTTGTTCTTTTATGTTCAGTTTTCCATCTTTTGCTTCTTTTATAGAGTCCTCAAAATTGCATTATTAGGTGAAGAAATTATTATTGTCAATTTAATTATAAGTTCATCTCCAAATTCTTCAAAAACTCTTTAAAATTATACCTCTATTTATCATTTTATAAATTTCACTCTTCTTTTTATTTAAGGATTAAAAACAGCATTTTTTCTCACTTTTATTTCTTTTTTCCTGCCTGGAACTTTAGTCCCCTCTACTGTCCCATTTCTGTAATCGCAACATCTCAAATGTCTGTTTCTTTATTCTCAAATTTCAACCAACCATCTTTTTCTTACAGACTAAATAATTTATATTCCCACAAATACGTTTTTATTTTGTGATTTCAAAAATCCCTATGTTCCAAGTTCATTTTGTTTCTTAATTTGTTTTAAACTTTCTTCAATTATTATTTAGCTTTATCCATTTATTTAGTTTTTCAAACATTTTGAAATGATAAAACCAAGGTTAGGAAGTGAAGTCAGATAGACCCACTGTTCTTAAAGGCTCTGCTGTCTTGAGAATTTGATAGCTTCCCTCATCTACTGTTGCTTAGACCTGCACGTTAACTGCTGTCTCACAGTCTCTTGCAAGGGATAACTGTTGTGAGCATAAGTGGGAGATGTCTCATTTTTTTCTTGTCCAGAGAGATTCTGTTGGTCCACCTTTGTCAGTTCATCAGCCATGTCGTAACTGTCTCATTGATTCACTTGGAGATCTTTGGAATATCTCATCCTCATGAAAAAATTACACATAGTATATGAAGCCACTGCTTGTAAGGACCATTATGAAACAGGTTCCTATTGGCAAAAGAGGGAGATAAGACTGTATACACCTTAGTTTTTTCAACCTATATATTGAATCTATATTGGGGAAACTGGGTTGAAGAAAATTTCTTATGATTTTAAAAATGGAAGAAGCATTAATAGTTTGTAGAATGATGATACTATTCTGATACACATACTCTAGAAATAAAAGTAAAGGAGCACAGTGGAAAAAAATCAAACTACATTTATAAAGACAATCAAACTAATGAAAAGTATAGCAACCAACTTTATACCTTCTCTCTTTTTAGATTGACTGTTATCAATAGAGGAAGCAGTCAAGAAATATGCCATATATCAGCATTTAGTAGGGTAACAATGAGGAGCTTAGAAATACATCCAGTGTCTATATCTAAAAATATTATATTCCCTCTATAATACTTTATGGAAACTTGAAGTTGAAGCTTGACATCTGAAGAATCAAGATAGGCAGATCCTTTTGAAATTTAATTTTGGAGGAAATTCTTCAGAACACAGTGATAACCATGAAAACAAATAGATGCATCATGGAATAAACCAGAATTCTTTTAAGGCAAAAATGACTATGCTTAAATTATTGAATTTTGGCCACATTGTTTGAAGACTATAATTCTGGGAAAGGTGGACATAATGAGAGAACTAGCACCAAGGTGGACTCAATTATTGCCACAGTGGTTGTATCATTGGAAGACTGAAGGGTCAAATGACGACAGATCATCCTGGAGAAAATCTTGACTGTATAGTTGCTGGAAATTGATCTAGCCTGATGACACATAATCAATCAAATATGCTGTTCTTTCTGTCAGATGACATGCAATTGCTGTTTTTATCAAACTACATTTATCTCTTAAGGACTAATATCAATTCTTGTTGGAAGAGACTAAATATTTACTATATTTAGGCAATTTTTGTGTTAGAGGCTACAAACTTTTTGTAGATAAAAGGCAGTTTGTATAAATTAACAGAATCTATCAGCTGCAGTTAAGCTTTCTCATTTTACATTTTTAACAATCTGTATCTTTTCTAGGGAATATACTATCAAATTGGAGATGTTGTTTCAGTGATTGATGAGCAAGATGGTAAAACATACTATGCTCAGATTAGAGGTTTTATTCAAGACCAATACTGTGAAAAAAGTGCAGCTTTAACATGGCTCATTCCTACTACAGCAAGCCCAAAAGACTATTTTGATCCTGCAACTTACATAATAGGTACGTTCCAAGGACTAAAATATTACGTCTGGCTTGTCCTGTGGATAATTGTACAGCTTCAAAGTTAATTTGTTTTTCTCCCCTAGAAAGGCACAATCAGGCCTATCTTTTTAGAGAAGATATGTTTGCATTAGAAACATATTTATTTGACAGTAGCCTCTTCTGTTCAATGTTTCTATGTGCTAAGGCAAAAATGCTACTAAACAGGATCAGTTTATACATAATTTTCAGCAGCGTATGTCAACCTTTAATTATCTCTTAGTTTCCAGATATATGGAATTCAATTCCTAAAATTTCCCAGCCAGTAGAGCAACTAAGAATACTCGACATTGGTCTACAGATCTGGAAGAACAGGAAAGACTAGCTTTCCACCAATCAGCCTTATAAATCTCAAGCCAAAGGAATCTGGAAAAATAAGGCGCCAAAATATAACAAGATGAATACATAGTCTTTGCTTTTTTTTAAAATCATCTGGAATAATTATGCAAAAACAGGGTTATAGCTCTATATTATAAATATGTCTATTTGCTTTATTTATTAAATTATTTATTAAATCTACTATGATTGCCCACTCCAATGGTCTGTTCAACTTACAAAATCCAAATAGACACTTAAATAAAACACATAAAATATGACAATCAAATTAAAAACAACTGTAAAAATCAAAGCATAATGGGGTCCATACAAATACATTAGCCCCAGGCCTGGAAACAAAGCAAGATCTTTAGCTTTCCAAATTCCAGGAGAGGAAGTACTATATGTATCTCTGGGGAATGCTGCTGCAGGCTTGCTTTCTCATTCCGAGAAGATTACAATCTTCCATTGAGGGATCCTAGAGTATGAGCACAGCCATTCTGCCCACACATAGAATATCCCTCTACCTATGATGGCAATTAGGACCAGAATTTTATTAAGTTGTGATATCTTAAATAAAATCCCCGCATGACTGGACCCAATTTTACAATTATTTTATGATAGTCATTAAGTGAACCATGGGGCTATAAGTCTGAAATATGCAGTCATTAAGTGAATCATACATTCCCAAGTCCAAAGCTATTCTCTCAAATCAGCAGGTTTTTGCCAGAAACGGGGGGGGGGGGGGAACTGGTAAAAAAATCTTCACAAATCAGAGTCGTGACTATAGCAGCTCAACATTTTATAATCGTTAGAACAGTGGTTCTCAACCTTTTTAATGCTGCGACCCCAACCAGTCGTAAGTCGAGGACTAAACCGGTTGTAAGTCGAGGACTAAACCGGTCGTAAGTCGAGGACTACCAACCGGTCGTAAGTCGAGGACTTTCCCTGCCCAGGAGCGCCACGCATGCGTGGTGCTGCCCCCTGCGCCGGCCGAGGCTTAGCTGGCAAGCGGCAGAGACAGAGCAGGCTGACCCCTGGCTGGGCCACCAGCTGGCCCAGCCCAAGGGAGGTAAGGCACCCGCCAGAAATGGGGGAAAAATGGCTGACAGCCTTGCTTGGCGACCTCCGTGAAATGGTCGATCGACCCCAAATGGGGTCACAACCCACAGGTTGAGAACCACTGTGTTAGAAGAACTTTATAAAGCACCCTTTCTGAAGCTGTTGTAACTCCAAAGGGTCACTAAACAATCAGTCATGAGGACTATCTGTATTGGACAAGCAGAAAGAATTAGAGATAAGCAATCCCTCAGATAACCAGGACTTAACTATAAAGGACTTGAAATGCACCTGGAAGTCAGGTGGTAACCAATGTAGCTCCTGTAGCAGTGATGACACAAAGGAGTTAACAAAGTTGTTACTGCTCATGCAACTGAACAGCTGTAGCTTGCAGGTGGAAGTACAAGAGCCCCACTGTGTAGAGTTCATTGCAATAGGTGTTAAGGGACTACCTGATGAATTTCCTGTGCCAGGAAAAGGTGCAACTGGTACACAAAATGAACCTGTGTAAGGGCCCTCCAGGCCATAGCTGCCACCTGCTCATTGAGCAATAGCTGTATATCCAAGAAGACCCCAAGATTCTTTTGTGCTTTTTGATTTAGGTATATATATCACAACACTGTCTGGAAAATATATATATATATTTTTTTTAGGACCAGAAGAAGATCTTCCAAGAAAAATAGAGTACTTAGAATTTGTCTGTCATGCACCTTCAGAATATTTCAAATCTCGATCAACTCCTTTTCCTACAATTCCTACTCGGCCAGAAAAAGGTTATATCTGGACTCATGTTGGACCTACTCCAGCAATTTCAATCAAGGAAACTGTTAGTAGCAGCTTGTAGTCTCTCTTCAGAAAATGCTTTTATTTATATTTTAGATTGCCATCTGACTTCTATTTATTGTTTAAATTTCTGCCTTTGTCAATTTTTCATTTTTGAAGCTATGTTTTCTTTCTCAAAAAATATGATTTCATCTAGATAAATGAATATTTTAAGTATTTCTGATGTGTTAAAACTGTGCCCTTACATTAAGATACTGTGTACATAATTTGTATTTAATTTGATCATCAGGCAGAGGGATGGAGACAAGTATTCATTAAAAAAGTGAGCTGAAATTACAGGAAAATGGAAGAAAACCATTTTATCTGATACAGATATATCAGAACACTATTTAAAATGTTTAATTGAAAACATGGAAAAAAATTGATATTTCTGTTGTTGCATATGTTCTGTATTATCCTTATCTGAGAAAAATAGTTATAAAGTCTCCCTTACAGAAAATCCATGGTGATTTTAAGATAAAATTAAGGTTTAATTGTAAAATTAAAAGCACGATGCCATTATAATGGGCACTTTATTTGGTAATGGCTTATGCCAGAACTTTAATGGGGATTATTGAACCAACTTTTTATTCTTGTGATGTATTAAACAGGGGTCCCCAACCTCCTGTCTGTTCAGAATCATGTTGCGAAAGTGGTGGGCCAGCACATGTATGAAACTGCATTTGTAAAAGTGTGTGTGCATGTGTGAAGCCATCTCCCTCCCCCGCCCCTCTGTCAGTCTGCCAAGCCAGAAAGATTGGGGACTGCTATATTAAAGGATATTTTGTTGGTTCATTCCAAGGGTAATCTAGAGGCTTGGGGCAATGTAATTTTCTACTTCTTTATCTTAAATCTTTGTGGCTAATAGAAATGAGTAGGTGGAAGCTGGAGTGGTAAAATTATTGTTAAAATAAGGATACGTGCTAAGTATCTTTTAAGAGACAGCTGAATAGCTATCCCTGATGATGTTCTAATTGCATCCAGAGCATTATTTTAAGTTCTATCAAGTTATAGTTATTTGCCTTAGACACTGTAGTTCAGAAATGCAGATGGTTTGTTAAACTTGGATAATACAGAAACATGATGCAAATATTCTAAATCATATAATTTTGTCTTGGTATGTTGTATGTAGCCATTTAATTGTAGATAATTGAAAAACTATGTTTAAATTGTGGCCCAATTTCATCTTATTTCCATTTTTATTTGGTACCAGGTTTAATTTTAACATCAAAATGGCTTTTTATACTGCTGCTACTATTCATAAACAGTTTTTAAGAAATCCAGATCTATTTTTTTGTATCATTATATAAAACAATAAATGGACTGTATTCACATCTAGATTCTAATAGATGTAGGATGAATACACTAGAGCAGTGATGGCGAACCTAAGGCACGGGTGCCAGAGGTGGCACTCAGAGCCCTCTCTGGGCACACGCATCATCGCCCCAGTCCTAGGCCTTCAGCTGGTTTTATAAAACCTTTTCACTTTAGGCCTCCGCCGCCATGTGCAAAAAAAAAAAAAAAAAGGTTCAATCAGTCAATTTCAACTTCTCGAGGGAAAAAAAAAGATCTTGCAAAGTTGGAATTGGGGTTGTTCCCTGATGCAGCAAAAACAAAGCAAAAGGAAAATCACAAACCCAATCATGGTCCTATACTTTTCAATTAGCAAGCATATGGCTTAATGACTGAGTAGCTGGAACAAATTTCAGTTGCCAAATGAAGACTGACAACATGACTACTAGCAATGTCATGACAAAGTAGGAACAACAGTGTATTAAGACATGGGTGTGAAACTCAATTGCGTCTTGTGACGTATCGTAATGTATCAATGTTTTTTTGCCTTTGCGGAGCCAGGGTGGGCATGGCCTGTGGGCTGCCAGTTTGACACCCCTGCATTAGAATATTTACAAGAAATACCATTTGCCTGCAAGCAAAAAATTGGAAAGATAACAAAACAGACTAAAACAGTGGTTTTCAATCTTTTCTTTGCTACAGACCCCCTTTAAATACTTTTTGTGGCCACGGACTATGTCATGAATCACCAAGACTTAACTAAGATTTAAATCATAACATTTTTTCAAGCCTTCGCAGACCCCCTCTAATGACATTGCAGTCCCCCAGGGGCCTACAGACCAGATTGAGAACCCCTGGACTAAAAAATAGAAAATGAATCTACAGTGCTCTGGGATTATAGAATTCAAACAGACAGGCACTTGCCACATAACATCCAGACTTAACAGTTGTTGATAAGGAAAAAAAAAGTCTAGGTAGTGGACTGTCAGTACCTTGTGAGAGCAGAATAGAAGAGAAAAAACTGGAGAAAAATCCACATTCAACAAAGTCCCTGATTTAGTGTTAAGTTGTGTTTATAGCTCTAGTATTTTCTAAGACCTTGGTTAGTGTTGCAGTTCCACCAATCAAGCCTGCATAAAATAGAATGCAGTATAAACAAAAGCCAGTAGATCCATGTTAGCAGCAACATCCAACTTTCAGTGGAGGTCCAGGGAAAAATTAATTCCAAATTATTCATATACAGTATTGATACATACGTATTTGACACCTCGCACTTTTCAGGCATATAAACCAAGTCTAATATAGGATTCACGTCATCTGTTGGACTATAATGATTTAAATAAGCCTAATCAAATTTCTCAGCTTTCTAGAGAAAGTCCTTTGCTAAATATTGAGTAATATGGAAGTTTGCATTTGGCATAATATGCAAGCACTGCTGAGTGTGAATTGATACCCCAACAATGTCCCACTGCTTCCCCATGTACTTATGAAATTATAAATGCTGGTGTTAATCTACATTAGTGGTTGTCGCTGAAACATTGTATCACAAGAATTTAAATTCACATGCTAAGTAACACTTTCACGGAAGCAGATTTCCATACCTATTTGTTGTCATTCAGCAATTGCTCAGATTTTTGTTGCCTAACTAGGACAGTTCTAATATTATGAGACTCTTTGACAGATAAATTCATCTGATAAAATAGTATTGTAATCGTGGCATCAAAAGAAATTTTGGCATTTTAACTGGCATGTTTGGTTTGATGAAAACATTTGAGAAATATTGACTCTTATCGTTTAACAATTGTTTTTCTCTTCAGCTATTTCAAAATATTAGCCTTAAACTTTTATGTGTTTAATATCTCTGCATTACTATAAACAAATTTGGTGCAGTATAAACTTTTTAAAAAATTTAAAATGTACATAAACATTTTAAAAATAAAAAATTAACAATTTTTTTGCTTAACAATGTACAGTAATTTATTTAAACTGCATGTCTGAAATGCATTGAAGATGCAACACAAGGAATTGCAAGCTAACAATTTTTACAGTAAATTAGTGATCTTCATATTTTACCAACCTAAGATCCAACTTCTCTATATTTAAGGTGTGATACCTACTGTTAAAAAAGGAAGAGTAGAATTGGTTCTCCATTGCATTGCTGAAAGGTACATTAATTATGTGCAACTCAAGTAAACCATTTTTTGAGCAAATCACATTTGTTTTTAACCACTATTCAGTAAAACTTTTAAAATGCTAGCAGGCATAAACTTGTCTTGATTCTTATTTTAGTCAGAATGTTTTGAAGTTATTAGGTAATCTTCAATCAGTTGGAACTGGGAACTCCATTGTTACATGACATGATAGTTAAGAATGACATGACCAGATTATTTAGTAATGGCAAGTTCAACAGCTCCAATTGCTGTTTTAAATGAGGACTTCGCGTAATTGCGACTTCTGACCTCCTGCCAGATTTCCAATTGACTTTGCTTGTAAAAAGCTGGCAAAGTACATCAGAAATTTAATCACATGACTATGACTCAATGTGATGTAATCATGATCCTGGTGCAAATATCCAGATCCTGTGATGACTGGAACTCTGAGGACTCATCAGAAGTCCCCCTTGAAAATTTGAATGGTTGCTAAATGAATAGTTGTAATCAAAGGATTACCATGCTGGAGTGGAATCCTTTTACTTCCATTTCTTTGATACCCTAAGCATAACTCTGTATATGACCTCCAATATTCTTAATTGCTGTAGATAAATTTCCTTTCAAGCTTTATACATTTCATAAATTAGTCATCTGGTTAAAAATAAAATACAAAGCTGTGTTGCAAAATAAATAGAACTGATTCCAGAAGAACAGCCTAACATAAAAGGACACTTATAGAACACAACTGAATGATAAACAGAAAAAATGAACTTTCTTAGAAAGCAAAATACAATACATATCGAGAAGGCTAAGCTTCAATATTTTAAACATTGGTTTTAATATTTTACAAATAAAGGGATCAATACAAAGTCCACAATATGTTATTAACAATTGTATTCACATATGCTTGACTTGGATATCAGTGAAACTCAAATATTGCAAAGTGAGATGGTAAAATGGACAAATGGGAATTATTAAAAGAAAATGAAAGTCCTGACTTCTGGTTTGCCATCACGGCCGCTGCAGACACTGGAAGGTGAGCTCCATCTTCTGTGTTCGATTTCGTACTGCTGGGGGACCCTGGAAAGGGTCAAAAGTTGCCCTGTAGGGATGACAAGCGAGGAGGGAATCCTCGCGTGATCGCGGGAGGGCAGTAGCCTGTCTGTTTGATCTGGGGCAGCCCTCCAAACTGGCGGATGAAAGACTGGCCATAGAAATATGGCCTGTCACTAGGCTGCAGACAGCCGAAGTCAAACATACCACCAGACATTTCTAAAGCAGCACGGATGAGACGGTGAGATCTGAACCTCTCTTCAATCCTAATTTTTTTACCTGTATAAACTGCCCAAAGTATTTTCCCCCCTGTGGAGAGGAAAGGGAAATCCTATCCCACCCTCTAAGAGCAGCAGTGACTGACTATCCAGGGGAGTTTAAAACGCTGAAAGACTAACATTATTTTAACTGGATTTATATGTTTCTAAAATTTGGGGACCAAAAGATTTCTTATCCCTATTGAAGATTTGGGTTTTTACTTACAAAAAAGAAGTAAAATTGAAAAAAGAATTATAAAAATTTTGGACTTAAAAAACTTTAAATGGCATTGGTGACATCTTGTGGCTAAATCTGATACTACAACCTGTTATTGTCTAAAATAGACCTGGCTTGAGGCCCAGATTAACCTTGGCAGATATCAGCTGTGAGAAGCTCAGCTGTGTTTTATACCTAGTGATAAAAATATTTTCATCCTGATTGTAAAGCTTTTAATTTAATACACCACTAAGAGAATATGGATGAAGATCAGGAACAGATTCTTTCTATATTGAAAGCAATTCATAAAACTATTCTTACAGCTTCTGATGAAATAAGACGCTATAGAAAAGAACAAGATGTCGGCCTAGATATTCAAATCCTAACTCTGACTACAATTAAAGAATCAACTACACAGAACACAATAGAAAAAGTGGAACAATCAAACACTATGATTGAAGATTTAATGGACAAACAAACAGTTAATGGAAAACCCACAAAAGGGACTGACAACACTGAAAATGGAAAAGATTTCCTATATAAACCAGAAGAAATCTGAGGAGCAAGAAGAACAGCAGATCGAAGGGAAGATAAACATTCCACGTCAACTATGGGGAGATGGAATAATAGAAAGACGATTTGTTAATCCTTCCAAAAGAATGGTGATTGGATGGTCTCTTATTTCAAATAATATATACAACAACAGAGGGAGATTTATTTGATGATTTAAAAGCACGGACATGGAAGGCGAGTTGGCAAAGAAAGAAAGCTAGAATAAGGCTGAAGAAAATTGGGGTTTTGATTTATTAGTGAGGATGTTATGTCATTAAAATAGAATATATTCAGAGAAGATGTGTACTTGGAATACTAGATTATGCTATGAACTGAGCTAAAGAAAACTGGTCATTTAAATATAAATATCAAAAGTTAAATCTGAATATTGATGGGAAATTAAAAATTGGGGAAAACAAATAGGATATTGATTGTCTATAAAGATTGAATGTAAAAGTAATTAAGATATATATATATATAAGCTAAAAAAATTTGATAAATGTAATAAACATGTCTTTACCTTGTTGATAAAATAAGAACTGTATTAGTTTAAATATGAGATAGTAGATATTAAGAGAAAAAGAGGAAGTATTGAAATAAGGGAAATTTTGGTCATTAAATTTAAGACATTTAGAAATTAGTAGAAAATAAGAATGTTATACTGTATTATCAACTAGATGATGTAAGATGGTAAGAAATAGAATATATTCAAATAGATGGGACATGCATGTATCTTGAACATTAGGTTTTGTGATGAATTGTGGTAAAGGAAACTTTGGTTACCTAAAACTTGGAAATTATAAATATTAAATGTTAAATTTAAATATTGATGGGAAACTAAAAATTGGGGAAAACTAATTACAGGATATTGATTGTTTATAAAGATTGAATGTTAAAGCAATTAGGACATGTATAAGCTAAAAACTATTGATAAATGTAACAATATTTTTACTTGATATAATAAGAATTGTATTAGTTTAAACATGAGATACTAAATACTAAGGGAAAAAGAGAGGAAATATTTAATGTGGTAGTTTGAGATTTGTACTAAAGACACTTGTATGTTATTGAATTATTGATTAACCCTGCCACCATGTTGCTTTTTAAATACTTAAATGTAAAATTAGAAAATCAATAAAACTTTTAAAAAGAAAAAAAATGAAAGTCTGCCAGCATAAATTCATATAAAATATGTAAAAGCAATTTTAAACAGACTGAAAATGAATGAAATGTGTTAATTATTCACCAGCACACCAACTTGCTTTTCTCCAACTCGTTGTTTGCCATTAGAAGCATTGCTTCAAGCCTTGGAACTTCTCTAAAAGAAATACAGTTGACAAAAATGGTCGGTTGCTTTCCAATATAATTTACCTCAGCATGCAATAAGGAAAAAAAATACTTCAATTAAGAGGAACTTTAAGGAAGTCCATCATTCTCAGATGTAATAGTCCTGATATTAAATTAATAACCATAAATTACAAACTACAAGGTAAATGCTATATTCAGATTATATAAAGAGGAAAGGGAGTCACATGATACAGAAAAACAGGTTATTTGTGTTAGCAGTACAGATCTTAGAAAACAGCTATTTTCTTTAGCTGTGAATAACCCTCTGACATATCATCCACTGGTGTATTTATGACATTAGCCGAAACATTGTCTTCTGGCTCAATACATGTGTTTCTTTCAGGAGATGAACAAAGAGTAACAGGTTCATCCATTTTGTCAAAAAGCAATTGTTGAAGTCTCTGAATGCCTATAAAAACCAAGAGAATAATTAACTTTAGAGAATGCATTTATATCAAGATTGTGTTTGTGCATTCAACAAAGAGCTTAGCAAATCTAAAATTAATTTATTGCAATGAGGGACGGGTATGCAGTATAAAATCCCAGGTTCATTAGATTAGAATGAGCAGGATTATTCCAATAGATAAAGCCTCTCATCGCAGAGAAGTGTTGGAAATGAAAATTCTAAATTATAACGCACAGCAATGTACACTGATCTGAAACTGATCATATAACTTCAATTATATCCCAGTATTAATTTTTTTAAAGCTATTCAGAAAACAATAATTAGCTTTTTTCAAATTCTTTTGACTTATTTTTAGTAAATACAAATTAAGGATTCAGAAAAACATACAATTAGTATAATCAAGTAATATGATCTTTATTTACAATTCTTACTTCATTTACAGCATTAATCAATTTTCTATCTGATTTTTTTCTCAAATGATCAAGAAGTATTAAATACATCAACAAAAATAGATACATTAAAATATTTTTCATTTTATGTTTATGCTCTTTTGAATGAGCAATATAATAAGATATTAAACTATATTCTCTGATTGAGTCTTGATCTGATTGATTATAGCTGAAATCAGGAATGAGGAATAGCATAAATGGAAAAAGAATCAGAACTCAAAACTTACACAAAATAATCTTATCTACAGAATCTGAGAAAACTATTCTAAACCATCCAGGTTCATAACAGCAGAAGGCCTTCCCAGGACTAATAAGAAGTTTTTCATCAAGAATCTTCCTCCATAAATCGATTTCAGCTTCAAATGTCTGTGTTTTTAAAAACTAAAACAACATGAAAGTGAATTGTGCTACATAAAATAATTACAATTAACATAAGCACATTACATGAAAAGAATAAAAAGATAAATATTTATTTTCCACCTTTATTATTATGAATAATTCAAGATGGCAGACATACTTAATACTTCTTCTATTGTCCCCACAACAATCCTAAGAGGTAGGTTTGGCTCAGAGAAAGTGACTGGCCCAAAGTCACCCACCTCACTTTCATGCCTAAGTCAGGACTAGAACTCACGGTTTCCTGATACCTTAATCACTAGACCAAACTGGTTTTGATCTGATCAAAGTTTTCAATTAATTTACCTATCAATGAATTCCCAGGTCTCCCACTTTTCCCCCAACTTAGTCCATTATATAAATTTACTATTAAAAGTATATGTCTTGATTCTGTATGCGAATTACTGTACATAAGGATAATACAATCGTAGGAGTTTAAACAATATTCAATAGTGTAGGATATGCAAAATGTTTTAAAATGTTACAAATGCAAATTTTCATTTAACACTCTGAATATGAACATAGAACAAGAACACTTTAATTATTTTGGTGGGTTTTCTTTCTGGAGATTGGAACATTTCCAAAATGTCCATAGTGAAAAACTTCATGATATTTCATGTTCAAAATGTTTTGAAACAAAGTATTTTATACACCACCATCTTAAAATATTTTGAATGATTGATACAGAAACATCAACTATCATTTTAAAACATCAAGAGTTTCATCCTTATTTTTCAAATGGTCAATAGAAGTTGTTTTTCTTCAATCGATATTTATTATTTTTTTACATACCTTCCTGAAATCAGCCCACACATATAAACCTCCTGAGCTTTTAAAAACAGGTATTCCAACATTTGCAAGACCATCTATGAGAATGTTTTGAGCTTCTTTTAACCTTTTTTTATGTATTGGGAAAAAGACATTATCCAGCCAGTCTGTCAAAACAATACAAATGATAATGCATTTTGATTTCCTTTTTTTTATACTTTTCAGACACAGCATTTTCTGAATAGTTAGCATAAATTCATAAATCTGTTATATATAACTTGACAATACTCTGTGAAAGGCATTGAGTACAGTATTCTCCCCTGCCTCACAAATTTAGCACATACAATTTAGGGAACCAGTTCCAATTTTTTTGTGAATTTCTGCATCGTTACTGAAAATTTTTGAACTGCCACATAAAATGTATTATTACCAGGATTAAATGTGTCTCTCTTCAGAAGAGAAATAAGCCTATAAATAATTTCCATGCTCCAAAAAAAGGAATGGAATTTATACATTGTCCTCTACCTTAGGTTTTAACACAAACTAAAGCAGGAAGAAGCAGAGAAAGCCTTGCACAGTATTCAGGTAGCAAACTTACATGTTTAAAATAAACATTCTAAATTTTTTTTCTAGTTTTTCAATCTAGTGCAGGCATGTCAAACTCGCGACATCACACAACATTGCACAACATATTGCGACTTGGGGGAGGACCGGTTTCAGCATGATGCATCCGGCCCATGGGCCGGCAGTTTGGCATTCCTGGTTTAGTGTCTTAAATTTTCAATCCCTGTATAATCTGGTCTTTCGGTAAGAATTTATGAGCAGGGATGTAGGAGAATTTTGATTAGCTCATGGTTTTAAATGTAATAGTTTAGCTTCAAAAACTCATGCTATTGAGGGTTAAGTAATGTGACATTTTAACATACTTGTTATTTTTCTAATTAAGATCACTAACGTGGATAATATCAACCAATTACAATGACATTAATGGTACTAGAAAAATACAGTTGAGTTTTAGCTGGATTCCAGTGTGAATTTTGGTTACATAACTTGCTACTGAATACAATAATGCTTGCCAAATCATAGTTTGGCCATAGTTAGGATGATAGATTATTAAATTTCTGGAATTCAACAGCTATTGTTCTAAAGATCAGAATTCATTTTTACTTTATTTATTTGGCCTTTGAGTCACTGTTGACTCCTGGCAGCTACATGGACAAGCCCCTACAATTTCCGTGCAGGATTCCAGAAATAGTTTGCCTTTACCTCTTTCCCAGGGCTGAGAGAGAGAGAAACCAGATCAAGGCCACTCTGGTGGCTTTCTGCCTAAGCAGAACTAGATTTCAGACTCCTGATTTCTAGCCTTTGATCATTATACCAAACTGGCTCTAGGTTCATTATTTAGACGCTGGGTGTGTGAATATGCAGTCACATTTTCAGGTTTGTCTCACCTCTGTCTTTAAGGATTTGTTGGAGAACATGCTGTACAGGACCAGAACACCCATGAAAAACCACAAGCTGATTAACTGCTTTCCTAATGTAATGATTTCTGGTGTATAATACTCCAACTCGAATACCACACATGCCAAAATCCTAGAAGGGATAGGTAAATAAAGAACAATGTAATTTAAAGTCTACTTAAAATGGCAGTGCCCCATGCATATTCATAAGTAAATCAATATTCAGAATTTCTAATTCTGATAAAATATGGAATTTCTCAAATTTCATTTATATAATCCAAAAGTTTGCATTTTAAAAAATAAATTGTTACCTTTTTATGCACAAATAATTCAAAGCAGATTTTATTAATAACTCGCCCTAAGTTGATCTCATTAAATTAATAGCACTAGAAATATTTTTGGCTGCGACCACCACAAAGATCTTTAGAAAAAGAGAAAAAAAACCCCACAGTTCCTGTCTGAGGGCAGCAGTCTTTCTAGACCACCTAACTTCAGACAAAGCAGCTTTGGGAGGGCAACACAGGAGAATTTAAAATATTTTCATGGTATCAGAGATTTATCAGCAAAGGTTATTATTAACAATGAATAACTATGAAGATGATGTAGAAACAACTGCTTTTGAAAGAACTATTATACCCAGAAATATATGCACAGCATTCTAGGGGTAGGCATAAGGAAACTTCAAATTCTAAAATGTGGAATCAGAATGCAAGAAAAGCTGCTTACATACTTGTACACACACTGGGATATAAGTGCACAAGAATGTGGTTTGTGTGTCACCTGTGGTTTGCTGCAGGTGCTGAATATTATGAAAAACTGAGGGAGGGGAGGTCTTCTTACCACTTTCTTTGAGGATGCTTTTGATTTTTTTTAAAAGACATTAAACTATGCTTTGGTTTTAATTAGATTGCCCAGGTCTGTCATACCACAGTAAGAGACAAAAGTCTGAACTCCAGATTCACCAATAGCAGTAACAATAATACTTTCTACAATGTAAACTGAATGATATGGGAGAGAAAAATTTGACACTTTAATTACTCAGGTACATATTGAATAGACATTGATATCAAGTATTTCTAACCTACCTTGCTAAATCCCCACATAAAATGAGTCCGGTCTGGATCTGGTAAACTAAAAAGAAATATTCACAAAAAATATACATTAAAAAAAACTTTAGTTATAAGGACAATAATACCGCAATAGAGAAAATCTGCTACATTTACAAGTGGCCTCATTACTCACAGGAATTAGAAAGGAGTGGTTTATAATTATAAACTGAAGATATGTAAAACCATGTAATGAAACTGCAAATAATGAGGGCCACTGAAACTGCACTTTGTGCAGAAATCAATACAAGTTTAATATATATAGGAATTATAGGTAGTCCTCATTTAACAACCACAATAATATAGCATTATAAAGTGAACTCTACTCTGTTTATGAGCTTTGTCTCTATAGGTGGTCCTTATTTAATAAACTACTCAGTCTTCAAACTTACCATGAGTTGTAGTGACAACTAGAATTTGTACTTAATGAGTGTTGCAGTGTCCCATGGATAGATGACCACAATTTGTGACTTTTGCTGATTTCCCAGAAGCAAAATCAATGAGGAAGCCAGCAGAAGTCACAATCATGTAATGTCCTTGCTTAAAAAATTGGCAGTTGGAACGGCTGTCACCAAGTGGGTGGTTTTTCGGCTTACAACTATGTTACTTTAAGGATGGAGCTTCCAAGCCCCAAACACTAGCTGAGTGAGAATTACCTGGATTTTGTATGAAAATGTGGAATGTTATAAATACACAGGAAAAATTATTTTCCTTCAAATAAATAAAAAAATATTCTGCATTTATATGTAGAGCTGGGTCCTCATGTTTTTCAGCTTTTTTGTACATCTTTTCTACTCTTATGGCTAACACTCTGTTGCTTCTCATCTTATTCTATCCATCTATAACATCTTCCAATTCCAGGAATGAATATGACAACATCAGAGCATCAGAGTCTGGATAGATCTTAAGGCTACCTTACTGTATATACTTACTTACATTTCAGTGATTCATGAGCCCTTTGCAGGATGAAAATTACACATATTCTACATAAGGAATGCAGCACACACTTGAGTATCCAAAAGTTGCAACCAATACAGAGTAGAGCAACTGGAATAAGAAGTTTTGCTAATTGCTTATTGATATTAGCATTACTCTTTAAACCCTTAAAATGTGTGGGTCTGACAGTAAAGAAACTGTCTTTTCAATATGAATGTCCCCTGTCGTGAAGATCAATGAGATAGGCGTGGCAAAACTTTGTAATAGATTTTTACCAGGATTAATTTTAATATTAAATAGTACATTTAGTAATATTATTATTAAAATTCAAATATCAATGTTCTTGGTTTTTACTTTACATTTTGTTACAATAGAAATAGAATGGGTAGAAAAGTCTACTAATTCTTGAATCATATATATGATATTACATCAAATACTATTCTGGAAAAGTATGCAGTGTTTCTCAACCTTGGCAAGTTTAAGAGGTGTGGATTTCCATTCCCAGAATTCCCCAGCCAGTCCACACCTCTTAACTTGACAAAATTGAGAAACAGAGATATCCGATGAGACGACCTTAGAGAAATTATCCAGAAGCTGTTATAATAAGTGCAGAATATTCCTGGATAACGCAGGAAAATATTAGAAAGAGACTGATCCCCGCCTGAATCTCTGGGATATAAGAAGGGAGAAAGGAAAATTTCATTGGAAGTCTTGCAAAATTTTGTTACTATAACCTGTCTCAATAAAGTATAGTCCTAGGATTCCTGTGGAATTTGTTTCCTGACATAATCTATCTTGTAGGCTTGACGCATTTGGAGACATAAAAACTATTTATGAATATGGAAACACATATATATACATATCTTAAATATTTAGAAAGGGTGTCCTTACCTCTTTAAGCTAAGGATGCTTGTGAATGTGGTATCACCATATACTGACAGCATGTAAATTTCATCCATTATTACATGTAACTCATACCTATATACAGAAAAATATGTAAGGACTCTTTAAAGTCTTCAAGTATTCATTTGATTCATGGATTCATTACTGTAGTAGTTCTTAACATATTATTTGTAAGTCTAGTATTAAAAACCTATTTAAAAACACTCAAGCACCCTAGGAAACTCTTACATTTTATGGTGAAAGCCACAACATACATAACAAACTGAATTCTTAATTCTAATATTCACAGAATTCATAAGTCTACTACTGATAGAAATATTCCTGAATTTCTGGAAATGTATCAACAGCTACTTAGTTTTTCTAAAAACTGTTTCTTGGAAACATTCTGTTAACTAAGAATTTTATTTCTAATGAATGTCAAATGTAGTCCCATATTTATAAAGACATATGGATGGAAAAACACTAATCTTGAGCCTTAAAAAGCTCTGAAACATTTTAAGCTATTCTAATCTAGCTGCTAAATTAAAAAAAAAAATCACTGAAAGATGGAAGGTAGCATTATACAGCACGTAGAACCATTATTCCATTAGATATTTCTGAAATAATTTAAAGCGATTCATTAGTTGCTTGATTTAGTCTGCAGCGCAATGCCTGGATATTTTTGATGGCTTTCAGATATTATCATTGTCTTTGTTATCTACTTTTTGTACTAGTGATTTTTCTGTTTGTTTCTTCTTTTTTTGGTCTCTCTGACTATAATCAACAAAGTTTAGTTGGAAGTAAGATTAAGAATTGTGGACATATTTAAAGGTATAGTGTATAAATTAAATGAACATTATAACAACGTATCCAAAGATAATTAACTATTTGAATATGCTGCAATAAAATGAGGCAACTGGAAACTTTTATTTTTGTTTTTATTTTAAACAAAACGCCCTTCTTTGGGAAAGATATATTTACTTATATACCATATAGCTTTCTATTTACTGGTTTTAAAATATTTTTAAATTTCTAATTTTAAAATTAGAAGCTTTTCTCAATCCCCAATTCATAAATTGCTATCAAAATACTTCTGAAATCTAGAGTTTAATATATTATACAATGGTATTACTATTGATTTTGGCAATGACCATTACTCAATTTCTGACATATGTAGACATGCATACATACATCAGGCATTTGAGTTTTAACCAGACTAACTTTGCCCTAGCAGTGCATACATTAATAATCACTGTTATGTTTTCATAAATTAGTTATTGAAGAATTCTTAATTTTTTTCACAAAACGTATATCTTAGAAGACAAATTCTTGCCTCAATATACTTCCTAAGTAGGCCAAATAACCTTATTTAACACTTGCCAAATGAAGGGAAATTGCCAAAATCATTTTCATAACTGAAATGCACTATGGAAAATTAAAGCCTAAATAAATAGCGCTAGGACGCAAACCTGTGCGCAAACTCTAGACATTCTTTCAGTAACTCTGCTGGGTAAATGTCCCCTAATGGATTGTGAGGGTTGATCAGGATTAATGCTCTGACTCGGACGCCCTGAAAAAAGAAAAACTGATAGTCGGAGACGCCAACATGATGCCAAGCGTACTCGCAGATGGAGTCTGCAACGCTGCCCTCCTTTATTAAAGAGTCACGTGTGGAAAACAATAGACTGTTTACATGCATATTTATTTCTGCAACAGCAGTCTCTGTAACTCAAGAAAATGATCTAAAATTGCAGCATTTTTCTCTTCTTAGCTTTTATCAGTGGCTAAAAACATAAATTTCAGAAAGTCCAAGGATGGATATTGCTTTCACCTAGTTACAGCCAACAAGAACATTTGGATTTTTATTTTTAATTGATTCTAGATTAAAAACAATGAATAAAATAACTGAAAATAAATAAAACCTGAAAACTTTCTGTATAAATAAATACATGGCATTTTTTCAAACAGTGAGAATAATTTTAATAATCAAAAGAAGGAAAATACATACTATTCCACAAAAATATACAGTGGGCTACTGAAATTTTAGTTATTTTATTGTTAGTAAAAATTCTACTGGTTTTAAAAAAATTGTGTGAAGTGTTCACACTTCACAATCCTGAAATTTGCAGTTCCAGACAATGACTCCTATTACCTAGGTGTGTTACAATCATTAAAAACCAATACAAATTAAAATAATAAATAACTTTAAATTATTTTAAAATTGAAAAGGATGGGGGAACAAGGGAGCAAGATGTCCATGGGGGGGAATCTTATCGAGTCCATTAATTATCTCCAGAATGACACACTACCTTTGGAGCCCCAAGTCAGTTCTTCACACCTTTTCAGAAGGCCAAAAGAATGGTTGCAAATTTCCTCAAGTAGCCTGGACCCATGCAAAGAAGGGCTTTAAAAGTGATAACCAGCACCTTGGACCTAAAAACAACCTGGCAACTATGGGTCATCCTAGGAACCTAAGAACTGTCATGCATCTGTATTCTGTACCAGCTGTAGCTTCCAAATAGTCTACAAGGATAGACCCCTCAACAGCATGTTGCAATACCCCAAGAATGAGATGATAGGCTGTAGGGAATCCCAATCCAGGAAGGGGCTAAACAAAGTTGTGCAGAGGCTTTCCAAGTCATGACTGCCACCTGCTCTTTGAGTCCAGGAGATCCCCAAGTTGTACACTGGGTCTGTCTGTGGCAATGCAACCCCATCCAGAGCTAAAAATGTTAAAGTTCCAGCACTCCAAGCTTCACCCAAAGCTGCAGAATCTTTCCAAGGTTCAGACGAAGCCGATGCCCCCATCCAGACCTCCATAGCCTTCAGGCACCATGAGAGGGCAATGCATTTGGGTCACTGGGGATGAAGATTTAAAGTTGAATATCACCAGCATACTCATTCCATGGTGGCAGATCATCTTACCCAGTGGATCTATATATATGTTAAAAAGGAGTGGACAGCAAACCATAAAGGAGCAGTTATAAAGTGGGTCTCTCACTCCCTATCAACACTGATTAGGACCTGTCTTGGAGAAAGGAGCCAAATTATCACAAAACTGCACTGCCCAATTCCAACCTCATAGCCTACCCAAAAGGATACCATGGTCAATGGTATTAAAGGCCACTGAGAGGGCAAGGATGGATGAACTGTTCTCATCCTGTTCATGCCAGAGTCCATCCACAAGTGTGACCAATGCTGTTTCTATCTCATAACGAGGCATGAATCTTGAATGGAAAGGATCAAGATAATCTGTTTCATCCAGGACCCTCTGAAGCTGCCAAGCCACCACACATTTTCTACTATCTTCTCTAGAAAGGGAAGATGGTAACTGGACAAAAATTGTTCAGAGAGATGAGATCAAGAGGTGGTTTTCTGAGGAGAGGGCAAAGCAGGGCTCTTCTTGAAAGGTCCTAGAAATGCCCACCTGGACAGTAAAGAATTTATCACTGCCTGAATCCACCTGAATCCACCTTTCACCAGCCAGAAGGGACAGGGTTCTAACTGAGAAGTCACTACCCTGACAGCATCAAGGGCCCTATTCACTTCCTCAAGTCCAACAGGATCAAACCATTCCCAAATAACAAGGTGAGACTTTTCCCCAGGCATTTCTAATAGAACAGGCATCACAGGTTGGTTCCAAGTAGGAATGAATCAGAGCAATTTTGTCCATCGGATCCATCCAAAAATTTCCCTGCATGGCCTGGAGATGATCATCTGAGCCCTCAGGTCTGAGGAGGGACCAGGTGATCTTGAACAGGGCTGCAAGGGGACATTGGACAATGGAGAAATAATGGTATTTCACTGCTCTTTCTGCAAGGTAGGCCTTAATAGCAGCTCTGTCTGTTCGGATTTATCCCTCGTTTTCCTCCAGCGGTGCTCTAGTCTTCTTTTAGCTCTTTTCAGAAGCCCAGAGGTCCTCCGTGAACTATGGGAAGTATTGGGAATGATGAGTCAAGACACCTGCACACGATTCTTCCTGTTAATACTTTATATTTTAGGATATTTGGGATATTTTTAAAATTTAAAAATAACTGAAAGGCTGCTTAATGAAAAGCATCCACCAGCCACTATTGTATTATTATTTTTGAAAATAAAAGTGGTGTGCTGAAGCTGCATAGCAGTTTGTCTGGAAATACCTCTTCCACTTTGAAAAAAAAAAAAGATAAAGGATCATCCTAAAGATAGAAGGTATGGTTGTGTTAGTGGCCTATTTTGTGGCTGGCCATATTCAGCTATTATTCAGCCATTTGGGGAAAGCACTCATGACATATTCTAGAAATTCCAAATGTGCCTACTGGGCTAACAGGCTGGGCAGAACAGGGGCAATACAGGAAGGGTAAAAATAAAAATAAAAAAAGATTTCTCAATCAATTCCCCACTTTTCCACACATTTGCCTCTCTTGTATTTTAGCAGGATGCATTTTACCAGAAAGGTTAAAATCCATTAGAAATAGTATTCATCTAAAATTAGAATATGAATTTCAAACAAAAATATTTCTACCTTTCCCCTGGCTCCCTGGTACGCAGCTTCTAATTTGTCAACTGTTAGTTGAAAAGGTTGGCTTCCTTCGTCAGCTACCTAAAATCCAAAACTCTAAATGTTAGTAATTCAATAAGATATTGCAATTATTACTAAAAAAAAATAAAAATAAACCTGAACAAACATGAGGAAATATCAATGTAGTCAATGATTTAGGCATATAGAAGCATGCTGATAGAACTTTCCTCTATTGAAAGGGATAAATACAATGAAACACTTCCTTATTTATATTTAATAAAAGAATACCTCACTGAATAATGGTACATGAACAGGTTGCATCCCACCATATAGCCAAGTTTTGGAATTTATGCCACCATAATATGGAGTTGGAATTAGATATCCATCTATAAAAAAAACACAAAGAAAACACAAATATTTTTCAGTACACTTTTAATAGCTGTTATAAGCACTATATTATTTTGCTTCATTTTAATTATAGTGTCCCATAAGTCCTAATGGTTCTTAAATAAACATTATTTATTAATATGCTATTTTTAGCTTACTAAACATTTTAGCAGTATTTTATTCTTTTTCATTTTTTTTTGAAAAGCCATTAACTAAGGAGACTATTAGAATTACATTCAGGTATTTAAGAGTGCACACCAACAATTTAATTTTAGCAGTATTTTTAAAAAAGCACAGAAGTGGTGTTAACTGTGAATATTACCTGACAGAAAAAGTTATCTCTTGATATCAGCCAATGGAAAAGATATGTTTTTTTTTAAAAAAAAAACCACTCTGGAACTTATTATGGTACAAATAAGTTGTACAAAACCACATACAAACATATACATACATATGCAAACTAAAGTTGTCTTACCTCCAGGATCACACAACACAGTTGAAAGAGTTGCAAAGACAGCGCAACAGCCATTCATCACAATAATCTAGACAAATGACAAGATAAAATTAACAACGTTGCTAATCATTTGAAATAGTAAGGGACCAGTCTAAAAACAACAATAAATGCCTGGTAGATTATAATGTTATTTGAAATTATTAAATTTGGTATTATAGTTAGTCCTTGCTTACTGACCACAGTTGGGACTGGCAACTCCATTGCTAAGTATTTGTTTGCCAAGTGAAAATTCATGAGACATGCCTATTTTATGATGTCACTTCCACTTCATTATTAATCAAATCACTGCAGTAATTAAGCAAAACATCACATGATTACAACTCACAATTTCATTGCTGTATTCTCTGTACATTTTGCTTGTTTGTTAAGCTTGCAAATGGTGGTCGTGGGATGTATGACAGCTATAAATGTTGGTTGTGAAACACCCAAATGTTGATCATGAGACCAAAAGTTGCTCTGACAGACATTAATGTAAGGATTGCAAAGCTGTTTTTTTACCAACCAATGTAACTTTGAACAGTCCAGGCAGTCAGTAAGTAAGTACTACCTCTAATATTTTCATGTTACAATGGATAGGCAACCATAGAGAACGCCATGCTAATTTGATAGGAAAGTATGCTAAATATGAAAGGTGATGGTACCAGAGCTATGAATGAAAATAATTCGAACAGAAATAGAACATTTTCAGAAATGTTAAGAAACCTGAATATTATTTCCAAATTATTATTATAAATATATCTATGCTGGGACTGATTACTTGAAGAAGTTAAGAATCTAAAAATTATCTAAATAGTTTGACATTGGTTTGAGCATAAAAATACTGTGACATATCCCAGCATATTTTCCAAACCAATTTAAAAGTAATAAATTTAATCAACTTTGTTAAAAAAGACATTTTAGATAAGATTCATCAAATGTTACCAATAAGAAAGAAAGAAAAGAATATCCCTGCATCTTACATGTTCTGGATCTAGTGGTACTGAAGCATTTGCATATTCAGTAAGAAATTTGGCAATTTCTTCTCGGAAGCTAAAATTTAAAATTAATATATTTCCATAATTAATACATTAATCAAATAATTTGCCATAACATTTCATCTATTGTTATATGGAAAATTATACAGCTAGCATTCAAACATTATATGGCAGATTTTGTCTCGAGCATAAATTTGAAATTTTTCTAAGACCTTGGCAGCTCACATCGGCAAGAACAGAAAAACTTAAATTTTGGTTCATTTTCCCTCTTTGAACCATTAAAAGCAAAAATATCTGTAACAGCATGAAGCAGAATTAAAAACAAAGAAGAGCAAAAGATTAATACTCTTAGACTTTTCAAAAGCTTACTGAGGATGTATCACCACAACTGCAGTTCTGAAAAAGCTCTTACAACAGGAGGCCAAATCCAGTACAATAGCTATCAAATTTAAAATTAAATTTTTGGAACATACAAGAAATATATTTTCAGAAAAAAACATTGAATATATGTAATTATTAATTTAAAAATATTATAGTTTTTAATCATTTTTACTGAATAGCCATTATTGTTCATTAATAGTTATCAAATGATCATAGTAATTATAAGTGCATAATGTAGAATAGGGTTGAAAAGCTGCTTAAGCTTCAACCTAGATGATGATAAATTAGAATATGAACCTAAATCTTCGTATTTTTATCCAGTCTTTTGTTTCAATATATCCACAGAAAGAAAACCCAACTTTATTACAAAACCATTACTATTAGGAAGCAATGGAATATCAGTGGAATCCCACCTCCCTGCCTTTTACTGTGCATCCCACACATTGTGAAGATAGAAATAGCAACCGTACACACAGTATATCCTAATTCCAGGTGGAATTAGAAATATAGATAATTTAATTTGATTGAAAACATGTTTTATTAGTTGGGAAATGATTCTTCATACTGTACCTTTTAATGCCTTGGGTATCCGAGTACTGGAGTAAATGAGGCTCCAAATAATTCATGTCAGGTTTCGAAAGCTATCCATTGTTTTAAAGAAAGAGAGACAATACTTATGTCACTTGATTCTATTGATTTACATGTTTTTAATATGTAAATGAGCTCATTTACACGAACTCAATTCATTTTACTTTTTTAATAACTATATAGAGCTGTACCCAACAGACTAATCTGATGGCAATTCTGTCTTACCTAAATTATCAGTAGGAAGAAATTACAATACAACAATGTGTGTCAATAATTATCTTTTTCCACCTGATTATTTACTAGTTATTTCCAATCTAGTAATCATATTATTGTGCATCATATAGTCAATATTATATTATTTAAACATAGTAAATCATAGCCACCAATCTGTCAAATATTTCTAAAATTTAGAAACCTACACATTTCATAAGAATCCAAACTTACCCTTTCCTGTAGTAAATCAAAACAAAGCTTGTTCTCACTTGTTCCAAAATTCAAAATGCCCTGAGAATAAAAATAACAAATTCAGCAAGTCACCAGTATCATCTTCCATTTCCATATGGCAAAGTTTTAAAGTAATACATTTTCCCATCAGAGATGTTAGTCTACTAAACCAAAGAGCAATATGAAAATGATTTGCAAATATTACATGTTACTTGCCATAGGTGACAAGAAGCAACTAGTTATCTGATTCTCAAAGATAGAATTATTTACTTTGTGTATTTTAAAATCAACTTATCTAATTTTTCTTTCCTCTTCTCTATAAACTTTTGCACAGACAGTACTGTCTTATATATAGATCCAGTAAGAATGTTCCAGCCCTAAACAATTGCTCTGTTGATTAAGAACATATTTCTAATGGATATCAGACACAGGGTTAATTTGAGATACTGGAACTAACCAGATTGAACCAGACTTGCATCTTACTTAATAAAGCTCAGCTGAAACAAACTGCAGCTGCTACCAATTCTCTCCTCTTGAATATCTTGGTTTGTTATAGCAGCTTTCCTTAGCCTGGTCCTTTGAGATAATTCTACCCAGGGCTTCCCCCCCCCCCCATAGAATGCCCAGAACCGAGTTCCAGCACCTTTTTTTGGATGGAACCTTAGTTCTGGCACCTTTTTTTTTTTTTTTTTTAGAAAAAAAGCACTGATTCTACTATAAGCACACTAGCTGCAAAGGTTGAGAATAGAAATCCCACAAGTTTAGGAGGCATTAATTTGGGAAAAGCTTCATGGGTTTTATAAATTTGCAAGTCATCTTCTGATAACTTGGAAGTAAAATAACTGCCTTATTTCTCCACCTCTAGGAGAAAAATCGCACATCACACATTTCCAGGCCTTCCTTCTGTCTTTATTCACATCATCTTGCATATGTGAAATATCATTTCATTGCCTCTCCGTTTTCCATTATTTATTTCTTATATCTTTGCTCCCCAAATAGTTCAAAGCCTACATCATTAGGTTCACCTAATTTACCTAATAGTCTTACCTGAATATGCATCGTTCATTCTAGTTTTTCCACTACCTGCACACAAGGCCCCCCTTCCACACATTCTTCCATCCCACCTTAAACTTCCAATAAACCACAGTCAACTTATACAACCTGTTGCGTACTCTTTTGTTTTTCCATCACATTACAAAAACATTAAAACTGGATCACAGAGCTCTGTTAAGTCCTGGCTTCCCTTGTTTCCTTGAAAACGTAATACCTACCCGGCAGAGGCCCTTCCAACATGCCAGAAAACCTCTGAAACCCACCATTTTATTCCCGCAGACATTTTACTCAGAGAGGAAGGATATCCATTTAAAGATCATCCATCCGTCCCCAAAGACGACTTATATTCCCCCTCCTCCAGCCCAAGATGCCAGGATGCGACGCAAATATCCCAGAAAATGCTGCAAACCACCGAGAGCGGGTTTAAATGTCGCGGTCACCTGAGGGTTTTGGTCCGCGTCAAAAGGGTCGTCGAGATACCTATCGAAGCCTCTGTCCAGGAGCCCCACGCAGCCTTCAGCGATGCGGACCCCGCGAGCAGATAGTTCTCCCTGATGGGGTGCTTCGCCGCCGCCGAAGTCGGTCATCATGCAGTGGGAAAGGCGACTTCCCCGGCCGGCTTGAGGCTCACAGGCAAAAGAAAGAAGGCAGCGCCAGCAATGCCGGGTAAAAGAAAGGAACAAATCCGCCTCAGAAGGCAGCTGCGGCGGTGACGCCGTTTTGAATGGCCGAGCCGGTTTCTTCCGGTTTAGAGGGCGTGGCCGAAGCCTCCGGTTAGCCCGCCCCTCGCCTCCCGGCTTTGCTTGGCGGGGATTGGAGGGGAGATGTTGTCACTCTGGTCCGTCCTGTGGAGGCGCAAAAGAGATGCTGAGCGGCGGGACGGATTCTTCTGCGGCTTGTCTCTTCTGTTGCAGGGGAACAGAATGGAAAAAAGTCTTACCCACCCAGATTAGCTCCTTCCTAATCAAAAAAATACTACCTTCCAGCAACCATCACCGCCAACAAAATAACTTCGCGGAAACCAGGCGCTTTTGAAATGCGTCGGTCGGTCCACTTTGAAAAGCTTGAGTGACATTTCGAGCAACTGACCGCTGAATTATGGCTATATTTGGTTGCATTTATTGCCAGAGACACAGGGCTTTTTTTTTCTTATAGAAGGCCTAGAACGGAGTTCCGGTACCTTTTTTGGATGGAACCTTGTAGAGTAGGCAAGACGGGTGGTATGACGTGTATGAGTTCCGGCACTTTTTTTTTTTTTTTTTTTTTTTTTTATAAAAAAAGCACTGCAGATACCACATCTCGAGCTGGCAGGAAAGGATAAATGCACATCATAAATGCATTTAAGATTAGGGGATTAGGTATATTTTGAGCCGTTTCTAAATTCTTCGTTTATTATTTAAGAATTGTTAGTGGTATAAGAATGTCTAGAAGATAAGGAAAAGATAAACAAGCAGCAAAATACTCAGAATCCTAATCTTCACTTGTAAATTTGAGAAGAAAGTAGTTTAATCAAGAAAAAATATTGACTGAAACATAATTAATCGGTTAAGTAGAGGATTGCATTCTTGCTTAATAAAACATATGTTTGTATTTTAAATATTTATTTTATATTTTCCAGAAAAACATATCGACGCTTTTGCACTATATAGTGACTTATTCCCTCAAGCAATGTTCAATGACTGTATTTTTAGCAAGTTGGAATGAGCATGGAAACCTAGATAGAAATAATACTAACTTCATCAATGCTGTCTGTTTTGTTTTTCATACTACTTTATAACTTATCAAAGTTAATTCATGGAAACATGTACATGCACACCCATCACATATATTGTAAATAAACCAAAATTGCATTATTGTCTGATTTTATCATTAGAACTGAGGTAATAATTATTAATAGTTCCAAATATATCATGAGCAGCTTTGTTGAATCACTAGGCTAAATAAAGCAATTTTGCTGAATCACATCTAAAGATTCTTAAGTTCAACAAATAGTAATCATTTCCAGTTTGAGCTAGCTGACTTGTTTTTGGAAACTGGACAAGCTCAACATAGCTAGTGTAAACAGATATCTATCTTGCATGATAGATAATTCCACTAGTTACATAACTGACTAGGAAAAATAATCCCTATAGGAGTAGAAAAAGTATTCTTACCCTTCTGTCCTTGAAGAATATTACGTTAGGAATGATAAGGAAATCTCTGATAGGCATGAAAATAGGGAACGGGATAGAATAAAATAAGTGGAATTATTATTTGCAGTGCGGAATATTTTACAATCAGTTACAATTTGCTACTGAATAAAAAGGTGATTTATAGTTTGGAGATCTCAAAGGTGCTTTTTTTTAGAAAGCAATTGGATTGGAAGGATTAGTTCTGGCCTTCTGAAAAAAACTACCTTTGTGGCAACTATCAGCTGGATCATGAGAATCTCCTCAGACATTTAGATTAGACAAGCAGGTTGGTCTGAAATCTAAAATCCTTTAAGAACTACTCAAGTAGGAAACAAAAAATCCACTTTTATATAATCTTTCCATGGAATTGAGTTTGCATGCTTCCTGGCAATAAGACAATTGCAACTTAGCCAGCAAATTAGCTAACAATCTAATGTCATTGCAAAATATCCACCAACTATAACTTAAAACCATTAAGACTATCACTTGATAAGTTGAAAATATGTATGCAGTTACTATGAATTTTTTTGTTTTAAAAAATATTTATTACATGGGTTTCCAGAATGAGTCATATGTAATGACAGTTGTAATGAGCAGAGACAATGCAATCAGTGAAATCCACTGGTCCTTCAAATTTCTCCAGAAAAGGAATCCTGCAGAGAGAAGACAACATTTTTGTTCTTAGCAGTGTCTAAGCCTTTCATAAGGACATTAAAGCAGCCAAATTCACTTTCTAATTACATTCAGAGATGTTTAATTTAACCACTTTATGGATATTAAAAATCTTCAAAACACATGGACTTATCTTCTAATTTATGAAATTTAAAAATAGATTTAAGCATTTATAGTAATAACACATATAATAATAAATAATAATACACAATTGCAAAAAGCATTTTTTTGTTTTAAGAACAAAATTTCTTAAAATTCCAGGGAAAAATGGAATTTTAGTTACTTTGCTATACAATTTGAAAAACAAATATATAATAATATACTTGAGGGAAATAATTGAAATGGAACTAAACCCATATTACTGAGATTTCAGAAAGTTTACAGATGAAAACTAGAAGGAATTTAAACAACTAGGCAGAAAAGATTAAAATGGCTAATTTGGAAATAACATTTCTTTACTGAAGCAGCTTACTGAAATATGAATCTTGGAAATGATAAAGATTTCAACTGATAAACTTTTAAGTTTCCTTTTAAATGCAAAGAATGAAATATTAATTTCTGTGGTGCCATAGGAATGATTGAAAGGTCAAGATTGTGCATAGAAAAAAAAAGAAATATAAAGTTGGATTATTTGACCAGGGATAAATTATTTCTTTGATATTTCTGGTAAACTCCAAATAGATTTTTTTCCTGAACCACAGCTGAAAAAAATATTTTTGGATTGTGTATATGTTACAATTAGACTATGAGGAAAAGAATTTTTTTATTTGTAATTTTAAAAAAGGGTGAAAAGTTAGCATATTAGTTTATGCTTGGTGTGATGAAGTTAGAAGTCGTTTTATTATTGCCTTTTTTTCTTCTACTTTTATTCTTTCTCCTTTTTTCTGCACTTTTCATTTTGTTTTAGTTTATCTTAGTTTTTACTATTTTTATTAAACACTTCAATTAATTACAATAAAAATCTTGATTACAAATTTAGACAGCTGTTGACATAACTGCCAAGCATAGATGCAAATATAAGTGGTTATAACAGCTGTTGACATAATTGCCAACCATAGATGCAAATATAAGTGGATGTAACAACTGAGTTGATTCTTGATATTAGAATTGTTTTTCAATGACCGATTATAAAAAAGGCAACAATATAAATGAGTGTCTGCATGAGTTAATAAGCTAATTTTTGAGAAAAAATAATAGCTAGCAATGGAAAGGTTATTTACGGTCAGTTGGTTAGGTCAATTGAGAAGAGCGTAGGCCATTAGATCAGTGAAAGGAAAAGATAGCATGCCAGTATCTACTGACTGAAATAAATACTGAGAAACTGAATTTATGGTTTGCCCTATCACATGAACAGTGTGTGAGATACAGGGATTTAGTCATGGAATGCTGACTTGCTGGTTACATCAGATACAGATGCTGTTGTGCAGAAATAATTGGCTCCATGCTTGAAATAAGACACTGACATAAATTTACATCCTGTGGAGGTACAGTGTCATAAGTAATGCTGATACCACTAGCATCGTTTGGGAGATTTGTCCAAAGCTAAATATAGCTTGTTTATGTTTTGATGAAGATTTATGAAATAAAAACCAAACAATTTTAAAACTTTATTAACAATTAAGAATTAACAATATTGCAATATTCTATATAACAATATATAGAAGCAAGAACATTTAATTTTATTTAATTATATTATCCAGAAACCATGAATTGGGTAGTAGAAATTTGTTATCCATTATTGTTTCCACCAGATGAAAGTAGATAAAAACCATCTTATAGTGATTTACTTTGTGGCAACCAGCTTTTTCATATAGCAATATTCAAATCCTTTCCTGTTTTCTAGAACCTTAACAACTTCTACCTGTCTGGCTATAGCCAATAAAAAATATTAACTCTTTTTATGTTTGAAGGTGCCTTTTAGATTGTAATAAATCACAGACTTGCGTGGGGGCACAGGGGACCATGCAACTGTACAGCTGGCTGACTCCATCAGAAGCTGTCCCGTTTTTGAAATTTTTGATAATGTTTTGAAATTTTATAATGTTATGTAGTTTTAAACATTTTTAATCTTACATTGATTTTAATATTTTAATGTTAATTTATGTTGTTTATATATTGATTGCATTGTACACACCCAGAGCACCTATCTGAGGGAGATTTCATGGAGCTCATTTGTATCTCTACTTCCATGTATCATTTTCCAGACTCTCTTAGCCCTATTCACCTTGTTCTTCTTTTAGATTTCCAAACTACATTGCAGTATGTTATCACTCTTCACTTTGATTCATTCAAACCTGTTTTCCCTCAGTTCTCAGATTTTCTTCTCCAATTAATCTGAACTACCAACATGGCATAACTGCTTTCATCCAAAGAGCCTGATAATTTCAATACATACCAAATATTCCCTGATAAACAGGACTAAATTTATTTTCATTTGAAAAATGAAATCGTCAGCAAGATCTGTCAGATGCCTCACTCTTGGATGAATCAATTTTTCAGCAGGTATTCAAAGTCTTCCATTACAATAATCTGCCCTCTACAAAAATTGGTGAGTTGATTTAGAAAGCCATTGCTTAGAATATTTTTTTTAATATTGATAAAGAATTAGGCTTTCATTTACACATTTGTTTAAATGCAATAAGTCTATTTATTCAAAGAAGTCTGCCAGTTGTTAAATTGTTTAATTTTAGAGCAAGAGAATGACTAAGCCAAAATTCCCAACCCCCCCAGAAGAAAAAAACTAAATACAAATTAAAAGTAATATTTCAAAAGATTTTAATAGTTTTCAGTAAAACATACTTTGAAAATAATGATGCAAAATAATCATGAAATAATTAATAATTAAATGTTCTTTGTCATATTAACAGTAACAGACTATTCATAGATAAAATTTAACAAGTAAACAAATGTTCTTTAAAATGTTAATAGTAACATAGACTGTTCATAGATACAATTTAACAAATAAACACTTTGCCAGAAAATTACTAGTAAGCATGATTACTACTACTTTAACAGCAGCTAAGCTAATGTTACTTTTTGTCCTGGTTTGAAAATTGCTCCACTGGATTCTTTTCTCTTTGGATTTTGAAAATTTTCATAACTTGAAAAAGAATGAAAAGAAAAGAAAGAAAACAGGAGCATATTAGTACGAAGAATATGCTGTATGAAGTAAATGGTTCAGGTTAAACCCAGTCCAAGGTTATTTTTAATTAATTGCTGTTGCATTTTGAAAGTCACAGAAATGTTTCTACTGTTTTTTTCCAGCTTCTATTGAGAAATCCAGAGTAGATAAAAATATTTCATTATAATTAATATTAAAAAATAAATAGTAAAAATATAACATAAAATAATAATCAAAATTATTGTACGTTACAAAGAAAAGGGCTGA